AGGGCGATTGCACAAGTCCTGATTCAAAAAAGGGTTTCGGGCGAGAGGGAAAGTCCACTGAAAACGCCAGGCTACACCCCGCTGCATCTGTGCCTGCTCGCGCCGCCACTGTCGCAGGTGGGAGCTGGGGTAGGGCAGCATAACCTCTTGTGGGATGCTTGGGCAGCTTTTGTTGTTCGACCAGAAAACAGAAGGTTCAGGGTTTGGGTTTAGGGTTTAGGGTTAGGTGCTTGGGGGTCCTTCAGCCGTATCCCCACACAATCCCATATAACCCGTCGGCGTTTAGTTTTCTAGGGCGCGAGTGAACCCCCTTCAACCAGAATAAGACTCCCCAAGTAAAGCCACCCCAACCCCACCACAACCCTCACCCGAGAAGGTGTGTGAGCAAACCTTCTAAACTCTATACCCTGAACCCTAACCCTGAACCTTAAACTCTAAACCCTAAACCCTAGCCTATAAACCCTTAAAACCCTAAATCCTAAACCCGAAACCCTAAACCTAGGAGCGCTTGGCGTGTGCAGCGCAGCTGGAGACCGCTCGGCTCCTCATCGACGCACACGCTCGGCCCGATTGCGGCCTGGACTTAGGGTTTAGGGTTTGGGGTTTGGGGTTTAGGGGAGGATGGCAGGGGGAAGGGGGGTTTGGGGCTTAGGGCTTTCCTTCTTCCACCTAAGCCTTAAACCCTCAAGCCGCAAGGCCCCGTAACTTGAACTTTTTCGAAAGTCGAAAGTTAATTGAGAAACTCCCGGAAACTGTCCTCGAAACTCCTCGAAACTTTCCCTGAACCCTAAACCCCAAACCCCAAACCCTAAACCCTAAACTCTATGCCGAAAGCCCCGCACGTTGGTGCCAAGCCGAGGCCCAAGCCAACGAGGTGAACTGCCTTTGCAGATGGCTGCCGCCATGCCGCGGCTTGGGAAGTGAAGTCATCGGGTCCCTAAACCCTAAACCCTAAACCCTAAACCTTAAACCCTAAACCCTACACCCTAAACCCTAAACCCTAAACCCTACACCTAAACCCGGGTTCTTAGGGCCCTTTGTGGGGGGGGGGGGTTTGGGCTTGGGGCTTCTCGGGTGGAGGGTTTAGGGCTTAGGGTTTATAGGGTTTGCAGGGTTTCTGGATTTGTTGGGTTTATAGGGTTTTGGGTGGGTTCTTACTTGGAGGTTCAGGGTACTGATAAAGCCAAGTATAACTGCACTTATAAGCCCCCACAAGTCCTCTAAGTAGGCCATGAGTGGAGTTTAGAGGTTTGGGGCTGAAAAGCGTTTAGGGTTCGGGGTTTAGGGCTTCTGGGGCCGTGCATCCGGCAATGGTCCTCAGTTCCGGGTTCACAAGAGCTTAAAAGAGGGTTTTAGAGGGTTTAGGGTTTAGGGTTTAGGGTATGCTAAGGGTTTAGAGGGTTTGGGGCCGTACTTAGGCTTGTGGATTCCAGGCTGGAATGGGTGCTCAGCCCTAACATCTGGAGTCTCCTTCTCCCCCCAGAGAGAGGGAGGGCGGGATTACCACCCTGACGCCCCAAACCCCAAGCCCCAAACCCTATGCCCCAAACCCCAAACCCTACACTCCAAACTCTAAACCCCAAACCCTAAACCCTAAACCCTAAACCCGCCCACAGACAACGGCATCCAGGTTCAACGGCAAGACGATGCTTCGGCTGCTGCTGCAGGCCACACTAAACCTTATTTTCGGTTTAGGGTTTAGGGTTAAGGGTGTAGGGTTAAGGGAGCATCTCGAGCTCGTGATTCTGGTATCGAAAATCTACCCACCCACCCTTTGGATCCCACAACATATTAAAATATCACAGTTTGATTTCATCTAATCGACAGAACGGAGTTGTCGACCGACAAATCGTTTCGTTTGTTAAGCAACCAGAACCGACGAGCATTCGCCTGAACCCTCCAACAATGCTGGCATCGCAGGACAGGGCATCCGGTCGGGTCGGGTGGAGGGGGGGCCATCAATGTACATTAAGAAAGAGAGGCTTAGGGTTTAGGGCAAACCCTAAACCCTAAACCTGTACCTGAAGGACTAAATGAACCCCAAAAGGGTGTATCGTCCATATACTTCATGGCAGCATGGGGTTCAGGATCCCGGTTTTGCTTATGACCTAAACTGTCAATTCTTCAACGGGGCAAGGGACCTGACCTGACCGGTGGCTTGGGAGAGAACAGAGAGTGCAAGGTTTTGGGTTGTAGTTGCGGTTTAGGGTGCCAGGTTTAGGCTTCGTAGTGTTTAGGGTTTAAGGTTTAGGGTTGAGAGTTTAGGTTTAGGGTTTAGGGTTTAGGGTTTAGGGTTTAGGGTTCAGGGTTTAGGGTTTAGGGTTTAGGGTTTAGGGCTTCGGGTTCGGATTCGATTCGAAATGCCCCGGGTGATGTTCCTCACATCATGGGTCTGGCCCCACACCCTCGGCCCTGCACCCCCCCCGCAGGAGGCCTCAAGATGCCTGAAGGGGTTTAGGGTTTAGGGTTTAGGGTTTAGGGTTTAGGGTTTAGGGTTTAGGGGTTTAGGGTTTAAGGTTTAGGGTGATCCCAAAGCCCTTTAATCACAACAGATCTCAAGCGCCGAGCCTTTCCAGTGGCTGCCTCGTCTATAAGAACCCTGCGACTTAACCCCAAACTCCCCATTGAAGCCCTAAACCCTAAACCCTAAACCCTAACCCCTACCCCTAATCCCTAATCCCTAAACCCTAAACCCTAAACCCTAAACCCGAACCCCCCAACCCTGAACCTTTCAGCTCCCAAGCTCGCCAGGCAAAGGCCACCGTGGATGGAGATGCCGACGAGGAGGTGCCCGAGTTGCGCGCAAGAATTTGAGGGTTTAGGGTTTAGGGTTTATAGGGTTTAGGGTTGTGGGCACCAGAATGAACATCAGAAGGGTTGATGGTTCATATAATATACCTTAATCCGAATTCTGGTAGTATACGGTAATATGAACCCCAATTTCAGGGTTCATCTGGGTTTTCAAAGGTGTTTGAGGCCCTTGAGCTGCCTGCAACAGCAATGTCCTTTTTTCTCAAAAAACCAACTAAGCCTAAGCCTTGGTAGCCCGGTGGTACCCTTTACCCTTTTTTTCTTGGTTCTGGCTTCCCTTATGAAATAGCCAACCCAAAGCAGGGTGCCCTTATTATGATATGGTTGCTGGGCAGCCAAGAAGCCCTGTAAAGCTTCTACCCTAAACCCTGGCAAAAAATGTCCAAGATCCCAAGCCTAAGACAGCCGTACTAAACCCTAAACCCTAAACCCTTTCGGGCCTGCCGAGGCGCTCTTCCACCGCCTACAGGCGTCCAGACCCAAAGCGACCTCCACCACCAAGAGGCGAGGAAGGGGGTTGAGCAGGATTGGGTTTAGGGTTAAGGGTTTAGGGTTTAGGGTCTATAGGGTTTAGGGTTTAGGGTTTAGGTTTGCGCAGGATTGTTCTCGAGTTGCCTTTAGTGAGGGCCCAGGGTGTACCTTGTGAGAACCGAATGCCTACTCTTTGCAGGTGCTGGTATCGGGCGTCATCTAGGGTTCTTAGATTCTCGTAGGTATCCTACTTTTGGGTTCCTTCAGTAGGGTTTAAGGCTTCAGGTTCAGCATAGAAAAGGCTTTGCGGAACTAGCAGCAGTTTTTTCTTTCATAATATATGGCCCGAACCCGACACCCTGAACCCGAAACCCTTTCAAACCCTAAACCCTAAACCCCAAACCCTAAACCCTAAACCCTAAACCCTAAACCCTAAACCCTAAACCCTAAACCCTAAACCCTAAACCCTAAACCCTAAACCCTAAAAGCCCTAGACCCGTCCTCCTCAGTGTGCGAGGTCTGGGCCCAGCGAACGGGAGGTCCTTCTGCGCGCGGCCGAGGTGCGGGCAGTGACCAGGGAGGGTTTAGGGTTTAGGGTTTAGGGTTTAGGGTTTAGGGTTTAGGGTTTAGGGTTTAGGGTTTAGGGTTTAGGGTTTAGGGTTTAGGTCCAGGGAGGGTGGCTTTCGATTTTGAAGGGGAGGGCCCGCTTTGGGGGTTTGGAGTTGAGGTTTAGGGTTTAGGGTTTAGGCAAAAGGGTTTAGGGTTGAGGGAGCCTGGGCTGAAAAGGGTTTAGGGTTCAGGGTTTGGGGAAGTTTGGGGAAGTTTGGGGTTTTAGAGGCACTTAGGCATGATTATGGAGTTGGATGGTATCTACAACCCCATGGCTTTAGTCCTAGCGAGTTCCATAGGACTAAGTATTGTGGACCCTCTGTGTTTAGGGTACTTACATGGTCCCTTGCTATGGTCCCTTTCCTTCTTTGAAAGTTTTGTGGTATCCCCAGTCAGCTGCTTGGTGTCGATCCTTCTCCACTCCACTCCACTCCACTTCAACTCCCTAAACCCTAAACCTCAACTCCTAAATCCTCCCTTGGCAACTTGGGGCCCCTCCCTGGTTTGAGGGCTTTCCCCAAGCTCCCCCCCCCCTGCGGGAAGGCGCACGACGCCCAGCGCGTCGCCGAACTGCTGGAGTCGGCAAGGCCTCGGAACGAGGGGTTTAGGGTTTAGGCTTTAGGGTTTATAATAGGGTTTAGGGTCCCAATTCCTATCCCTGGATGCAACAAGGGCTTGGGATTGTGGTGTTCAGGGTGAAGCTTCTGCTCAGGACGGCGGGGAGTTTTTGGCGTTCCTGAGTTACTTACTTCTCCAACAGCTGAACTTTAAACTTTTTGGGTTTCCTTATTTAGTAGGAATAATAAAGTTTAACCTTTTGTTCCCCCAGGTTATTGGAGAAGTAAGGTTAAGGGCCCACCCACGTCCTACATGTGAACGTAGGTCGCAACCAAGAGGTTCAATTCTTTGCTGGACAGCCTTTTCACGTTCCCCCGAACCCTAAACTTATAAACCGCTTCTGTGCCTCAACTTCGCCAATATTTAATTACAGTTGTTTAGAATTTGGGATGAAGAGCCGCTGAGCCATCCCCCGCAAACCCTGTAGCCCGGGAACCCTAGACCCTGCAAACCCTTCGCCAGAAAACCCTTCAGCCTTCAAGCCCCTTGAAACCCTGAACCTTTAAGCCTATTAAAACCCCCTTGAAGCCCTAAGCCCTTAAGCCTTGGGATGTTCCCCCTTATACTAACAGTCCTTAACAGGGATTATCGTACCCTTTATTATAATCCCTATTAAGGACTGTACCCCTAATTTCGGAAACTCCCAGAATTCCCCGAACGCCAAGAATCCTGTTCCATGCCCTGAGCCACAGGGACCCCGACTTGGCAGACCTGGAGGACAGATCTTCCGAGAGCCCAATACGCAGGCATAAGGAAGATACCTCTCTCTCTCTATATATATAGTGCATGTATATATATATATATTATATACATCATCATGAATCATGAACCCTTAACAGTCTAAGGTCTCCGTAGCTGAGGGCTTGCGCCAGGTTTAAGTCCGCTTCATGTTCGAAGTTTGTGTACGGGGTAAGCTGCATGCCTGCGACTTGTGGTCCTCGGCGAGGGCAAGGGAGCTCTAAACCAAAAGGGCCCTGTCCTCAACAGACTCAACGAAGCCTATACCGCATTCCAGTGTGAGAGTCGAAATCACAGTCAAGCCCCAAACCTTAAACCACAGCAAGTCTCATATTAAACCACTGTTTTCAGGCCGCACCTAAAGCCTCGCAACATACCAAACCCTATGTTATAGAAGCCTTCATCACAAGGACGCCGATGGACACCGGCCTCTACACCGCTGCCTCCTCGCCCCGCCGCATGAGGCACAGGGCTTCTTCTGAGGGGCATTACTTACTAGCTGAGTAGGACTCTTTTACCGTTTACCCTTTAGGGTGTATATAATCCTACCATATTTCAAAGGTTAACCTTTTTCGGCCCAGGGTACTCAGCAACTAGGATTAGGGCTTTAGGGGGGGGCTTATTACGGGGCTTGGGTATTTGGGCTGCGGGTTTTCCGGTCAAAGGTTTCAGGTTTGTTGTGGGTTTGTGGGGCAGAACGCGACGTCCCTCAGTCAGTTTAAGGTGCTGAACCGAAACATCTCCAGGAAGGCATTGTTCCGGTGCGTTGTCTGCAGGCAACGCTCCGCATTTCTTGCAGACCGATACCAGCAGGCCAGAGAACACATACACACATGTTAAAGTTCTTCTTCGAATCAAAGAAGGGAAGTTTGCTAGGCAGCTGAGAACTGTGCAGTCATACCGTACCAATGCAAGGGTGTTGTCTTCATGCGCGTGATCCGGCGCGGATCAGAAGACCATCAAACTGGAGGCTACTTCTATCAGTTCTCCTGCTTCTCGTGCTGGCTGGCCCTGGTATCTCTTTCAGTTCGGGCAACTACGGCCGCCGAAAGCAGCCCACAGCCAGCGTGTACCGAGAACAGACTGGCTCAAGCATAAGCCGCAGCCTGCACGAGAGTGCACAAGATGAGGAGGAATTGTTCAACTACACCCTATCGGCCCACGAAAAGAAGCTGACAAGCTCAATATTTGCCGCCGGTCAGAGCGGCAGTTGGTCACGTTTCTCGAAGCTTTGGAAAAGCTACTCAGGGACATCGGTTCCTGTTTATTGCGCGGCAATGCAAGCTGCTTTTCGGTGTGGTCAGTATCAAGAAGCAGCGAAGATGTACAAACGCCTCCGTAGCTTGCCCGATATTCAAATAAATCGTGTCGTGATGCACCGGGGATTGAAGATTTTCGGAAAGATGCGTGACAGCAGGGCTGTGGACGAACTGTGGTCTGAGGCCATTGAAACGAATCGTGTGAACAAAGTTATTGCAGCAGCGCGTATTGATGCTGCAGCAAGCCTGGGCGATATTGAGGGTGCCGCAGCTGGTCTTGATTTCATGACATCAAACGACTTGGACCCTGATGTTCCGGCATTCAACTCTGCTCTCAATGCATGCGGCAAAGCCAACCCTCCCAGTAAGTCGGCCGCCATGTATTTATTTCGAGCGATGATCAAGCAGAGCTTGCAACCTACCGTTGTGACATACGCAAGCTTGCTGCGTGCTCATGAACGAGCAGCGTCCAACGACATCCAAGCTATTTGCACGGACATGGCAAGCAGAGGGGTCGAGCCGAACCATGTCTTCGCCGAGGCATACATATCTGCAATGTTCAAAGGGGCAAGACTGCGGGGCTTGGGCCTTCCAGGAATTCGAAAGCTTGTGCAGAATATGAGCGACCGAAGACGCAGCAAGCTGCAATATGCCTTGAACAGCTTTGAGGCTAGTAAAGTCATGACTGGACTTTGCCGAGACGTCAAGAAGTCTCTGTGATAGATTCTCTTTCTATCCGGCGCAGCACAGTGCGTTGATCTTCACCTGCTCTTGACGGCTGGAGAAATGGGCCTTTAGGCGGAAGCAAAAGAACAACCATGTTTTTGCAAATGTAACACGTCATCCTTCGCCATCCGGACGCTTACAGAGGGAGATCATTGCAAGCAAGCAGCTCAACATGCCCGGATCTGAAGTCATTTTATGCCCAAGCCAAGACAAGTCACAGATTCTTCCAGAAGAAGTGGCCCTCAACCCTAACCCTAACCCTAAACCCTAAACCCCAAACCGTTGGCTTTTTCGAAGTAGCTCGGGTTGGGGTTTGGGAGACCAGCGCACAGCAGTGCCGAGCAGAATGTCTTTTCCCTTCACCGCAAGTCGGTACCAGCTGCCCTCAAAGAAAGACAGTAGAGACACTGGCTTTAGGTTTAGGCATGAGGGTTTGGGTTTGGGGTTTAGCGAAAGTTAGGCGTGCTTGCTTTTCGGGGAGGGGAGGGGAGGGCAGGGGGGGGGGGGGGCCGTCCTGTAATGAGGACTGATAATTAGTATAGAGTGTTGTGGGTACGGAGAGGGTTGCGAGGATTCCCCAACTTTTGAAACTGCGCGCTGAATGCCTAGGAAATGTTGCGGACCAAACCTATTGCCTTCCATAGGACGTGCTAGGTGTCAGTTTAGGGTTTAGAGTTCTAGGGTTCAGGGGGTTCTGTAGCAAACCCTGTACCTGTAAAGCTGCTTGCCGTCCAAACCTCTGGGGTTCTCAAGGGCGGGTGCAGTCCCCAAGCCCGCAGCAGCAGCCACATGGCTCTGCTGCAGCTTACGAACACTACAGGAAAGGCGGTCTGGGGTCCAGTTTAAGGTTTAGGGTAGTCCTGAGATGGGTTTAGGGTTTAGGGATTAGGGTTTAGGGTTTAGGGTTTAGGGGTCCTGAGGCCACTAGGTGTAGGGTAGCCTTCTCCGGACAGGGCAGATGGCCAGCGCTGCTTCAGACGATGAAGGTGCTTCTGGCTGCTCGCGCATCGCCCAACGCAGCGCACCACGTCCTGCATCTGGCCGCGTTTCGCATCTTTGTGTGCGCTCTGCGACGTCGGCACATACTATGGCACATGGTAATTTCTTTTGAGCTTTTACAGTGTGGATGACGATGTGACTCTCTGTTGCATGAAAATGCCTGGGACTTCTGCAATTGAAGTTCGAGCGTGCCGGAAGCTTGTGTAGTGCTGTGAGAGCCCGAGAGTGTCTTCGGCACGTCTGCCTTGCTTTGGGACTTGAGGGCGCCTTCGGGCTTAGGGTCATGTACAGGTTGAGGGCAGCAAGAGCCTTGCTAAGAAAGAAACGCCTCTTGGATAGTTATGGGATTTGGTGTGTACAGGGTTAGAAGCAAAGATTTGGTGTCGAGAAATCATTGGGGTTGTGGGACAGCCTCTACCTTAATCCCTACAACTCTATATAAGCCCTTCAAATATAGCCCAAAGCTCTACGCTTAATGAATCTCAAGCCGAATTACGACTCGAAAACTTGCAGGCCCCAAGCAACCCTAAGCCCCCACCCCCTCAAACAATGCTCTGCCCTGAGTCATCTGCTCAGAGGGACAAACACCCTTTGATTAAGGGATGAGCTGCATTCTTTCAGGAGAGCATTCTGCATTTCAAAACGGAGTTTCCGTTTACGCTTGAAGCTCCCGAACCCTAAACCCTAAACCCTAAACCCCAAACCCTAAACCCTAAACCCTAAACCCTGAACCCTAAACCCTAAACCCTAGCTTTGGGGTGTGGGCTCTCTGGGTTCCGAGGAGCCGGGAGTCTGAGACGCCCCTGCTTCTGGCCATTCGCAGCCTGGGGGGCGCTCTGGGAGACGAAGGTCTGGAGGTTTAGGGTTTAGGGTTTAGGGTTTAGGGTTTAGAGTTTAGGGTTTAGGGTTTAGGGTTTGGGGTTTAGGGTTTAGGGTTTGATACTTGGGTGTTGGGTACAGTACCTGCGGTTTTGTTAAAGCGTTGCTTGGGGTTTAGGGTGGTTTGGGGGTTGAAGGATATTTTGAGCGATCCAGAACTCAGACTTTATAGGGCTTGTTGCGGGTTTAGGGCTGCCATCTTCAGTGGTGCTACATCTGAAACCGCTCGGGCTTCGGTTCTTGGGGCCTCATGCCGTGGCACGGTTCCGATTTACACCCGCCTGTGGTCCACTCACTCTCATCGTCACAAGACCACAAGATCTAATTAAACTGCTTCGAGCATTGCTCGTCAAAAGCGCGATGTTTCCGGCTTCGGTGGTTGTGTAGGTGGTCTTCTGAGGAAGAGAAGGCCTTACACCATACTATAGATCCGACGTCCTGATTGTGACAGGGAGGTGTCTTCCAGCTCGCAACCCCAAGGACCCACACTTCGGGAGGTCAGGGATCATATTCAGGGACAAGGTCACTACCCTTGGAGTGAAGCTTCCCAAAGAGCCCAATGCCCCTTTGTTTAAGGAATATACCTTAAATCATATTTAGGATCCCTTTGTAAAATAACCCTAAACCCTAAACCCGAAACCCTAAACCCTGAGGGGTATGGGGCTCTTTGATTCTGATGCGCAGGTCAGCGGCTGCAGATCCTGCGGCAGCTTCTGAAGGCCAATGCGGACAGCAACCAAGGTGACTTGCAGGACCTGATGCAGAGTCAGGGCTTGTCTAGGATGAACCTTTAGGGTTGAGGGTTTAGGGTTTAGGGCCAGGATTTAGGGTTTAGGGTTGAGGGTTTAGGGTTGAGGGTTTAGGGTTGAGGGTTGAAGGTTTAGGGTTTAGGGTTTGTATGGTTTCGGCTTTGCAAGGTCAGAGCGAAGCAAGGCATGCGAGGCAGCTGGTAGGACCAGGGCTTGCTTAGGGTTTTGAAGGCAGGGTTTTATTTAGGGTTTTGAGGGCAGTAGGTTTTGGGTTTTGGGTTTAATTTAGGATTAATCATGTTGATGTCCTACCCTGCAGAAACCTTCCTTAAACCCTCTGAAGACCTCCCCCCCCCAGAAGAATTGCGCCGGAACAGCCTGTTGAGCAGGAGCGAATGGACGTTTTGGGAACCTGCAAGAGTCCTTCGGTGGGTTCAGGGCTTAGGGTTTATGCTTTTTGGTGAGTTTTCCATGCCCGAGAGGTTGTATCCTCTGCAACCGACATGATTTCTCCCGAGCCCCCTGCTGAGCCGGGTAGATTGGAAGCTGTAGGGTCGCTTTAGAGGGTCTTAGAAATTCCTTTGAAGTTTTCTATTTTCGGGGTGCGCGTGTGTTTAAGACACCCTAAACCCTAAATCCTAAACCCGGGTTCAAACCCTACAAAACCTGAACAGGGTTCAAGTCTCATTCAACGCTTCGAGTGGGTCGCGGAGGACACCACGCCGCTGATGGAGGCGGTGCGCGCAGGAGATGCCGAGGCTCATATATGGCTTTATAAAGCGGATCTTTGAAAAAATGGGCTTGACTTAGTGAGTAGGGTTTAGGGTTTAGGGTTTAGGGTTTAGGGGTTTAGGGTTTAGGGTTTAGGGTTTAGGTTTGGGGTTTAGCGTTCGGGGTTTAGGGCTAGTCAGTTGGGTTATCGGGATTATTCATGGGTTTCTCGGGGATACGGAGCAGACTTACTGAGTCAAAAGGGCTTCCAAGTCGGGTGTTTGTGAACTTCTACACCCTAAACCCTAAACCCTAAACCCTAAACCCAGGTTCATGGCGTTCCGGGTTGGGGATGATTATTTCGTACCAAGAATCACTAAAAAAGAACAGAACCTCGAGGATCTACTGTAGGGTTTGGGGTTTAGGGTTTTAGGGTTGTAGGGCTGTAGGGATTTCAGGGTTTTAGGGTAACCCTATACTTGGGATCATGAACCTCTTGCTACTATACTACCTTTTAAGGTACATGAACCGTAAACCCCATTAGGGTTCATGTAGTCGGAAGGCTTCTTCCGACGCTGCTAGTCGCTCGAGTTACGGGACCTTAGAACACCCAAGTGTTCATACCCATGTTCCAGATAAACGCTCTACCACTACAACTCTAAGCTATCTTTCTGCCTTCTTCAACCCTAAACCCGAAACCCTAAACCCCAAACCCTAAACCCTAAACCCTAAACCCTAGTTCAGGTCTGCCAGCTGCTGCTGGACCGCGGCTGTGCCGCCGACCGCTGTGGCGGCGCACGGGGCCTCGCTCCCAGCAGCCCATAGAGCGCCAGGATGTTTGCAGGTTTTTTGTTCTGAGTTTTTGAGGCTCAGGATGTGTATATATCTACCGTATGTATGAATGTATGTATGTATGTAGATATGTATGTATATACATATATATATATAACATAACATATAGATATACTTTGCTTTTCGGTTCATAGTATGAACAAACAAGTCCCATTCTACCCTGAACCTGCTGGCGGTCCAACCGGACAAGGTCTTTCAGCGATCGACGCGGCGTGGCAGCCTGCGCTACTGGGGCCGCCAAGAGAGTTCTTTGCTGGCTTCTTGTTATGAGGAACTTGTTTCTTGTTATAAGGAACTTGCTTCTTGTTATAAGGAACTTGCTTCTAGTTATAAGGAACTTGTTTCTTGTTATAAGGAACTTGCTTCTTGCTGTAAGGAACTTAAACTGCCATAATACAACTGCATGCTGCTTTATGTGCTATATGATTCCTGTTTGTGGTAACTTTGGTTGGGTTGGCTAACAGCAGCTTGGCAGCAACCCGGTAGTGCTTCCATCTGAGAAGCTGCGAACGAGACAATGCGCCCAGCGAAACGGGGATCCCTTCCACAGGAAATGCACCTAGTGACCTTTGTGGCGGTTTAGGGTTTAGGGTTTAGTGTTTAGGGTTTAGGGTTTAGGGTTTAGGGCCCAGCTCTATTGTTCCTACTAATCCCGGAAACCTATAAACCCTCTTCACCTGGAGCTCCCTCAAACCCGGGAGATCAAACACGTGGAGCTCCAAACACCAGGACCTTTAGGACCCTTTACGCTAGCCCAACCTTGACTAAGACCCTAAACCCTAAACCCTAAACCCCAACACGGGATGATCGCCCATGGCCCTTAATAGGGGGTTGAGCAGTATTGGGTGGAGGGTCCCAATTCTATTTTCGGTTTTAGGTTTTTTGTGGCCTTTTGCAAGAGGTACCCGTCATAAAACATGCCCTTGTGACTTCAGGTATAAAGGCATATTTCGGAGACTCGCCATGCACACGGTCCATGCACACGGTCCCATTGGGGGGGAGGAGGGGTATAATTTGCGAAATATAGTTCAGTGAAAACACGGAACTATACTGGGGTACTCTCCCGACACCCTACACCCTACAAACCCAAGAAAGGACTCTCATTTTGAGAATTGACCGTGTACCTTAAACCCAAAAACCCAAAAAACCACACACACCCGTGCAGGTGCCCACGAGCTGTTCGAGCCGTCTTTGAGGCACAGGGCTTGACGCCCTCCAGCCAACGCGAGGCGCATGGGTAGCTAGCCTTCGGGGTCAAAAGGGTTCTGTCACGAGTGCAGTCGGGTGGGATCAAGCCGGGCGATACCCACAGTCCGTTGCCAAGGGGCTGATATGGTTTATAGGCTTTAGGGTTTGCGGGGTTGGGGGATTTAAGGGTTTCCTTGTGGGGCTCTGGGGGCGGAATGTTTGACTGTTGGAAGCTTTTGGGGCAGCCCAAAGGTTTATTTCCGAAGCTCCCAAAATCCTGTGAGGCGTTGGGGTGTAGGGTTTAGGGTTAGGGTTTAGGGTTTAGGGTTTAGAGTTTAGGGTTTAGAGTTTAGGGTTTAGGGTGCAGATCTTGGATTTTCGTGGAGTCACTGCTTTTGGAGGTGTTCGGGAGCCTTGCAGACACCTGTCTGGCTCCTGGGGGTGGTCTCAGCCCTCGAGGGTTCACAGACGGTTATAAGTGAACTTAGGGTTTAGGGTTTAGGGTTTAGGGTTTAGGGTTAATTATTTGGGTTTACAGTAGCCTATGCACTTGAATTGAGTCTCCGTTCAGGTGCGTGTGAATGCTACCGTGAACCTGCAAGTGTCGCAAGGATGTGTGTGTCTGTGGCAGCCTGGGTAGGTTTAGGGTATTAGGGTATTAGGGCTATTAGGGTCTTAGGGTTTTAGGGTTTTAGGGTTTTCGGTTTTATGGGTTTTATGGGTTTTAGGGTTTTTAGGGTTTTAGGCTTTTAGGGTTTTTAGGGGTTAGGGGTTGCGTGTGTGGCAGCCTGGGTAGTCTGCAAAGGTTTTGGCTCCCTTCGTAAGACGCCGCTTTGGTTCGGGCGGAATTCCGGACAGCCCCTGGGGCCCCCAATACAGACCCCAATTAGGGTTTAGGGTTTAGGGTTTATAGAAATTGTATAGGGTTCAGGTCCGGAGTTTTGACCGAAAGTTTTGACCGAAAGTTTCTTTTTTTGCTTTGGGTGAGGTTTTTATGGAAAGTTTTGACCGAAAGTTTCTTTTTTTGCTTTGGGTGAGGTTTTTTATGCTTTGGAGCTTGGGCTGGGGGGCTGAGGCTGGGGCTAGGCTGGGGATGGGGCCGGGGCTGGGGCCGGGGCTGGGGCTAGGGGCTGAGGGCTGGGGCGGCTGGTTGGGGCTGGGGCTGGGGGGCCAGGCGGCTGCTGGCGGCGAGGGCTGGTGCGCTTTTTGGATTGGGATATTCAGAATGAATTAACCGCTTTGGATGAATTTACTTCAGCTCTGCTTGTCAGCTGTTTAGACAAATAACTTGGAACCTAGAGGTTTAAGTGAATTGAATATTTGGCCTTCCGAAGGCGTTTTGAATTCATTTAGACAGACAAATAACGTGGGATATTCACGACGACGCCACATACAATTTCTATTTACCCTGGTCTTGAGGGTTTAGGGTTTAGGGTTTAGGGCCCAAACTCGTAGGATTCCTTCCTAAACACTAAACACCCTACACCCTACACCCTACACCCTAAACCCTAAACCCTAAACCCTAAACCCTAAACCCTAAACCCTAAACCCTAAACCCTAAACCCTAAACCCTAAACCCTCCCACCTCCTGCCAGGCGACAGGGGCCCACCTCGACGCAGCGCAGAGCAAGGATGGGTCTGGGGTTTCTTCACCGGGTTTAGGGTTTACGGTTTAGGGCTTAGGGTCTGGGGTTTAGGGTTTAGGATTTAGGGTTTAGGGTTTAGGGTTTAGGGTTTAGGGTTTAGGGTTTAGGGTTTAGGGTTTAGGGTTTAGGGTTTAGGGTTTAGGGTTTAGGGTTTAGGGTGCTTAAGGGAAAGTGGGAGAAGCAGAGGTACCAGGCGGTGGATAAGGGAGTATCATTGGGATCTATTCCCTAAGCATCAAGAGGTCTTAAACTCGGGGGCGCATGACGACTTTTGTGGACACGCAGGTGACTCTACGCCACGTGTCCACACTCCTGGAACGGACGGCAGCTCTGCTCAAAGAAGGTGGCTCTGGTTTCTGGAGGTCTGAGCAGCTGTGCTATGTGGGGGTTCACGAAATACAGGACCCCTAATATAGACCCCCAGATAGTAGGATTCCCTTAAAACGAGGACCCCAACAAGGTACCCCTAATTTCGGAAACCCTCCATGTTGGTCAAGAACCCTGCAGTTTTTTTGCAGAAGCTGTCGTTGCCGTGGCACCAGCAGCTGCAGGAGCAGGAGGACCTGGTATAGATCAGAGCAGAGTGAACACTGAAAGTCCCAGAAATCCTCCTCGCAACTGCGCATGCTCGACCCTAAACCGTAAACCCTAAACCCTAAACCCTAAACCCTAAACCCTAAACCGCCAAGGTGTGTGTGCCTGTAAGTGCTTGCATCCGTGATGTGAAGAAGCTCATCGTCCGCCTTACAAATCGAGGCTGGCTTTTTTGAAGGGGGGTTTAGGGTTTAGGGTTTAGGGTTTAGGTTTAGGGTTTAGGGTTTAGGTTTAGGGTTTAGGGTTTAGGGTTTAGGGTTTAGGGGCATGGCTTGGTCAACTTCCCTCAAATACACCTGGGGAGTTCCCAAAAGTGAGAGGGTTCCCCACTAGTTAAACCCGCATTGTAGAGTCACCTTGAACAGAGACCCCTCCCTCCCACCCCAAAAAAACTAACATACTCACTCACACACATTTATTAATGAATTGCTGAATGAGTTAAGAATAAGACATAAGAGTAAAAGCAATACCAATCAAAATAAGCATACTCGTGGTTTACACATCGAGGCCCTGATTGTCGGCAATCTCCAGCGTGAGACCCAAGACTCTCTTGCCCTAAAGGGGTTTGGGCCTACCGGATCCTTCCAGAAAATTCGACTTGGTTGACAGGGTCTCTTTCTCTCTTTCCCTTCCCTCCCCGCCTCCCTCCTTCACTCACCCTTTATTTTTGCAGAGCATTGACAATACCCGAACATGAAATTGCTCGGGGCTCCACCAAGCAGCAGGCTCTGGGCGGATAAGGCCATATACCCCTAAACCCTAAACCCCCTAAGTCCTGTAAACTCTACAAACCCCATTATGCCCCTAAACCCTATAAACCTCGCAAACCCTATAAAACCTATAAACCTTGCAAAACCCTCCAACACCTAAACCCTAAACCCTAAACCCTAAACCCTAAACCCTAAACCCTAAACCCTAAACCCTAAACCCTAAACCCTAAACCCTAAACCCTAACCACCCTAACTTGGGATCCGACACTGCAGCAGGGTCCTGGCGACGCGTGGCCTTGCTGTCGGAGTGCGGAAGCGCCCTGCCTCCTTATACAAAGCAGCCGGATGCATACTAGGGTGTAGGGTTTAGGGTTTGGGGTTTGGGGTTTGGGGTTTAGGGCAATTTAGGGCAATTTAGGGTTTAGGGTTTAGGGTTTAGGGTTTAGGGTAAAGCTAGCTCGGCAAAGTTGCAAGGTAAGAAGAGACGACAGCAGCAACAGAATGATGTACCGCACGCCCAAACCCTAAACCCTAGAGGCTCAAAAGAAGGCCTTGGCGTTGCATCGGAGGGAAGCAAGACCCTAAACCCTAAACCCTAAACCCTAAACCCTAAACCCTAAACCCTAAACCCCAAGCAGGTGCAAGTCAGAGCCTGGGCTGACTAGAACTGCTTACAAATTGGGATGTTACCCCATATACAGTTCTTAGCAGGGATTATCGTACCACTATTATTCTCCCTATGAAGGATGTTACCTCTTATACTAGCAGTTCTTAACAGGGATTATAGTACCCCCTATTCGAATCCCTATTCAGGACTGTTAGCATAGCGGGGAACATCCCAACTTATAAACGCAACGACTCTTATAGAAAGCGCCACAAAGTATGTTCAGGAATGATACGATAAATGAGCCGTCTGAATGACTTGGCTGAGGTGGGAAATGGATAAACTTAAGCTGACGGTTTATGTGGAGACTGGACAGAAGCAGCGGGAAAAGGGACGGGACCCGCTTGGATTACCCCCCGAGAAGGGCCCTAAACCCTAAACCCCAAACGGGTCAGATGCAGCTCGGCGACGGCACGAGCCCGAAAGCCAAAAAGGACGCAGTTTATGGGGTTTAAATCTTCAGGTCTCAGGTAGAATGCCCCAGTTGTGGCCTAGCTATCTCTTTTTTGGGGTATGCTTCAGCCGCATTTATGTTTAAAACCTTTGTTGCCTTATGTTGGCAACTCTGTTTTGGGTATGCCTAAGTTGGGATATAAGGGCCCCTATAAGGGGGATGCTCGTTGAATCCTCATTGTTGTGTGTTTTTTGGGCCCCCGAGTACTTAGAGGCAGATTTGAATCCCAGGAGCGCTGTGCGACAGCGACAGCTTGGGTGGCCGAGTCTTGCTGCTGGCTTCCCTGCTGCAAGATAGGTTTCGAGCTTTGTACATCTGCTCGCCCCCTCCCCCCCCCATTGATCCACACATTTGGCTTCGGGAAGGCTGTGGATGTGGGGTTGGGCGGGTAGGGCGGGTAGGGCGGCGGAGGCGTCCCAGAACCCCCTAAACCCTAAATATCCCCCCCCCCCACCCCCCCCCTCCGAGGTCGCGGACGCCCGCTCCGTTGAGGCACAGAAGGCTGCCGAGATGCTCCTGCCCGAAGAGGCGCATTCTGTTTAGGGTTTTGGGTTTTGGGTTTAGGGTTTAGGGGGGGGGGGGCAGGGGTATCGACTCTGTCCCGTCCCGGACTCCCTGAATTTTGCCATGTTCTTTGCTGCTTTGTACTGTTGTAACTTTGTTTGAACCCGAAAAATCTCTTGACCAGTACCCCATAACCACCCTAAAAACTAACCCGCAACCCTAAAACCTAAATCCTAAACCGCAAAAACCGCAGTTGGTTCCCCAAAAGCAGGGGTGGGGGCCCATGCCTGCCTCGCGCGACCTCTCTGAAGAGTGGTGCAGAGAATTTAGGGGGCTTGAGGGGGTGTGTACATATATTTAAAGGTACCCATTTTTCCTGTAATTATATATATATATATACATATACATATATATATATATATATTCATATATGTATATATATATATATATGTATATGCAATTTATTTACTGTTTATTTTTAGTTTTCTAGGCATTCTTACACATATGTGCATTTTTGGTTTGTTTGCTTGTTTGGTTGTAATTCGATTTATATGTATATACACTGTACCCCCCTAAACCCTAAACCCTAAACCCTAAACCCTAAACCCTAAACCCTAAACCCTAAACCCTTTCTCGTTCCGGGCACCGGGGGGGTTTCTCCAGGAGCGCTGGCCGAAGTGGAGCCAGGAGGAGCTCAGCGCTGAGGCCTTGACATTGAGCTCCAGGCTTGCAAAGCTTTTTCGGTTTAGGGTTTAGGGTTTTGAGGTTTAGGGTTTGGGGTTTAGGGATTGGGGTTTAGGGTTTGGGGTTTAGGGTTTTACTGGTAGGGTTTAGGGTTTAGGGTTTAGGGTTTAGGCTGCTGCTGTTGGTGAGTGAGGGCTCCTTATTCCTAATAAACGCTGGTGATTGTATATAACTGCTGTCCCTTTGTGGATTCTAGTAGGAATATATGCACCCTGCCTGCGCATGGAGTTGAAAGGAGCTTCCCGCAGCGTTTTGGGTACAAGGCCTGCAATTTTCGGTCCCGAGCCAAGCTCGGTTCCTGCATTTAGCCGGGCGCCTGTGAAAAAAAACGCGCAGGCCGTCATGAGTATGAGCTGCTGTGACCAGAAGCGGCTCCGTGAGAACCCGGTGTTCAAGGAGGTCATGACCAGGTATCCAGACTGCCCGGCTTTGCCCGACCTGCCCGCCTTCTCCAAGAATTGGGCGGAGTCCGACTTCGAGTTCTTCGTGGCAAGCATCGGCACCATCATCCCCATGTGCTCGCTCAAGCGCCTCGGTGGGCGTTTGTGGGGACATTTTTTATGTTTGCCCTTATTGGGTTCAAGAGGATCATATATTCATCAATATTCCTGAGAGGGTTTTGAACCCTAAACCCTAAACCCTGGGAAACCCTAAACTTTTAAGGGCCACCCTAGGCAAAAGCAGAAGGAGGACACAACCGGCGAGCTCCCGAAGAGGCCAAACACGGGCACTGCCCTCTTCGAGTGCGCTCCTCGCACGATCGCCACCCCAGGTGCGAAGAAGGATCAGGCTCCTTGGGGGCCAAAGGAACCCTCCAATTGGAGTCATATACCCTATACTACTATTCCGATTGAGGTGTATGAATCATGCTATACTACTATTCCTGTTAAGGTACATGGGTCACAAACCCTTTTAGGGTTCATCTCGTCCCCTTAAGGCGGCAGAAGGCTTGGGTGTTTCGCCGCATGCATCTGGGGAGAGCATCAAAGGCGAGCCACACATCAACCACAAGGGCACGGCCAACGCGTCCCTCGTGATTCCCTCCACCATCTTCATGGAAGACAGGGCACCAGAAGGGCTGAAGCTCGAGGCTGTGCTAACCAAGTTCGATCGCTGCCGTGCAGCGTGCCTCCAAAGCATCAGCGGGATGAGCACGCAATCGCTGGTCGAGGAGCACGGCGTTGGCATCCTCTTGGCCGACTTGTCCTTCATTGTGGAGACCGAGAAGCTTCCGGACCTGATCTCGGACGTGTTTGTGGAGTCTGAGATTGACCTGCCCAAGATCCCCATGCTGCCTAGCCTTCAGCGCCTCGTAGACAAGAATGGCAGTGCATCGTGTACGGCCACCTTTGGCCAGATGTTTGTGGACCTTAAGTCAGGGATGCTTTCGGGCAACGCGGAGGCCTACAACACTGTGAAGCGCCCGTGTGATCGGGTGTTTGGGAGAGAAATCCCGAACAGCAACACGCTTGCTGTGAGGAAGGAGCTAGCCAACAAGTGGGCTGGCGTCCGCCCTGCACGGGGTCATCCCTTCAAGCCAAGCAAGTATCTCCAGGGCAGATACGTCATTTCCCCCTCTGACTGCGACACCTACAACACCTTGTACCATCCAAAGGCCGCCACCGTCTCTTCGTCATAGTGGGATAACATTTTTCATTTTTAAGGGTGCTTAAACTCAATAAGGAATATCTATATATATATATATATTTATTTATTTATATTTATATGTATATTCATTTTTTATTTAGTTATTTTTGTTTATATTTATTTATTCAAAAACGATATACTATCCCAACCATGAACTATAGGTCTGTGAGCACGGTGCCTTGAGCACGGGCCAGACCTTCGCCTGTCGCCCCTGCAACGCCTTCTTCGTGAAGTTCCTGACCACCATGCTGCCAGGTGGGCCAGCATGGGGCAGAATGGGGTGCCTTAGACTCCCTCTATAGCCCAAACCCTATAAAGGGAACCCCTAACCCTAAACCCTAAACCCTAAACCCTAAACCTTTTTAAGGGGTTACAGGGTACTGTAGCCCGTGCAGGGACCTCTTTGGTGGCCCACATCTTCATCGAGGAGGCCGACACATCCGACAAAGGCGTGCGAGCACTCTTCGCGTTCCTGGGTCGTTGTTAAAAATAATTTTTTCATGTTTTGTATGAATACTCAAAAACCCCAAGAAGGGAACAACAATTGTCATGTTTTAACAAAATCGTACCCCAAGAATGGTGCAGGTTTGAGAAGGCGGATGAGGAGAACTCCTGTGTGCTCACGGCCTTCGCGGTCTACGGCGGCGCAGTGCCGGGCGTGGTCTACCGGGAGGACCCTAAACCCTAAACCCCAAACCCCAAACCCTAGACCCTAAACCCCAAACCCCAAACCCTAAACCCTAAACCCCTAACCCTAAACCCTAAACCCTAAACCCCAAACCCCCCCGTACAGGAGGCGGCCGTGGTGGCCCCCAAGACCGGCCAGGCCCTCGCCAAGTGGGCGAAGCAGAGCTGCAAGAGCTCCGCACAGCGCCTTCGCTCATAGTCTGAGGTAGCGTTTTGAGCAGCCTTTATAAGGATGCTTGGGTTTAGGGTTTAGGGTTTAGGGTTTAGGGTTTAGGGTTTAGGGTTTAGGGTTTAGGGTTTAGGGTTTAGGGTTTAGGGTACTTAAAACTCAATAAGGAATCAAAATTTGATTCTTTTATACTATCCCAGCCATGAACTATCCTAACCCTAAACCCTAAACCCTAAACCCAGGTGTGAGGCGCTGGAGAAGGCCAGTGGCTGCGATCTGAGCGAGCTCCGCTGATCAGCCACAGGGGCATGGAATGAGGGGCAATCACTTGGCCTTCTTCTGGCTGGCACTTAGGTCATTAAGGGTTTAGGGTTTAGGGTTTAGGGTTTAGGGTTTAGGGTTTAGGGTTTAGGGTTTAGGGTTTAGGGTTTAGGGTTTAGGGTTCCTTTTTGGTTGTTGAAGAAACTACAATAGAAGGAGCCTCAAAGTTGAGCTTCTCGGAGGGGTTCAGAAGTCAGCCAAGATCAATTAGTGCGAGTCGCGATCGCCTTTGAATTCTTTGAATGTACAGGATCGCAGCTCTTAGTGCAGCTTTCTTTTTTTTGTGTTGTCGGTAAGGCACCAGCTCTTTCTCCAGGGCTCACAGCCTTTTTAAAAGGGCTCCAGGCCACTCCATTTGACTTTCGGCGTGGACGGGTCCGCTCATGATAAACCTTGAGATTCGCTGGGAAGAATTCCTAAGTGAGAGGTAGGGGCGTTGTCATTCACTTGCTGCGACGCTTTGTGTCAGCTATCAGGAGGGCCTCGCATCTTTCGAGGCCCCTATTGCGCCCTAAACCCTAAACCCTAAACAACCCTAAACCCTAAACCCTAAACCCTAGACCCTAGACCCTAGACCCTAAACCCCAAACAAATGCCCCAAGCTGCCCAGAAAGCGCCCCCTGCAGGCGGCCCGGCGTGGTCTGAGCTTACAGCGGTGCGGGGAGGCCTTGGGCAGCTACGCTAGGATTTCTAAGTGTCCAGGGTTTAGGGTTTAGGGGTTAGGGGTTTAGGGTTTAGGGTTTGGGGTTTGGGGTTTAGGGTTTGGGGTTTGGGGTTTGGGGTTTGGGGTTTGGGTTTAGAGAGACATAAATGCAAACCGTAGTAACAACTAAGTGTAAGTACAGCAATTCATAGGGGACTTATATGAACAAGCAAGCCAGCAGAAATAGCAACATAAATGTAGCCCGCAATCGTAGTAGTGACAACTGCAGTAAAGAGCAGTACGGAGAAGCACTAGCTAAAGGTTAATGGGTTCGTCTTTGTTTTCGCCAACAGCATTGAACATTTAATTACAGCATGTGTTAATAAAGCTCTGGCTAGGCTTAAAAGTTCTTAGTTAGCAAGGCATGTTGCAGAGGAACCCTAAACCCTAAACCCTAAACCCCAGGGGGGGTAGTATAGAGGGGGGTAGGGTTCAGGCGCCTCAGCACACGTGTGGCAGCAGTGAAGGTGCCGACGCGCGAGAGCCTCCTCGCCTGCCTCCTGCAGGCCTTTCTCTGGGCTCTCTCATAGGGTTTAGGGTTTAGGGTTTAGGGTTTAGGGTTTAGGGTTTAGGGTTTAGGGTTTAGGGTTTAGTGTTTAGGGCTCTCTCAACGCTCTACAACCTTAAAGCCTCTTGTGGTTTCTGGGAACCCCTAAACCCTAAACCCTAGACCCTAAACCCTAAACCTCTCAGACCATCCACCCCTGCAGAAGCTAAATAGGGGTCCGGGTTGTTGAATTTGGGGTTTGCGACTTTGAAGCCAACAATCGCAGGTGCAAAAGGAGGTGGCCTGCGATATTCCCTGAAATCTTGCTGCCCCAACAGGGTCATGGAAAGAACTTGCAGCTGACAGACCTCCGCTCCTCTCCTGAACCCCCCCCCCCCCTAAACCCTAAACCCTAAACCCGAAACCCGAAACCCTAAACCCTAAACCCTAAACCCTAAACCCCCAGGTGAAGAAATGGGAGTCGCAACCTTCCGCCGAGCTCCGCGCAGAGGCAGAACCATAGGATTTGAGAAGAAGAAGCCCTATAAACCTCAAAAGCCCTCCAAATTAGGGTTTTGGGGTTTAGGGCTTCTAGGGACATTTTGGCCAGAAAATTTAGGGTTTGGGGTTTAGGGTTTAGGGTTGACGGTTTAGGGTTTAGGGTTTAGGGTTTCATTGAGAATTCGGGTATCCGGCAGCTGGCGGTGCCTTGCAGGAACCCAAGGCTGCAACAGAAGCAGGGGGGCACCCTAAACCCTAAACCCTTAACCCTAAACCCTAAACCCTAAACCCTAAAAGGGGGCAGGGCTCTGATGATTGATTTGTCTTGCCATGGCTGCCGGCGTGCCCCAAAAGTGGCAGCCCAGCCCAGCCCCCCCCCCTTTGCGCACAACAAATGTCAATCCCTAAACCCTAAACCCTAAACCCTAAACCCCTAAACCCTAAACCCTCAGCCCTAGCCCTAAACCCTAAACCCTCAACCCGCGTCTCCAGCCAACCTTTGAACCTCAATCCCCCTCTGAACAGGCCCTCCGTCGAGGGCTGCCAGGAGAGGCACGCTGGCTACACGAAACCTAGAGCTTTTATGTATAGTTAGTATGACTTTAGGGTTTAGGGTTTAGGGTTTCGGATTCAGGGCCGAGGCATCGGGTGTTGAGGGTGTAAGTTGAGCAACCACACGACTACCCCCCCGTAAGAACCTACAAAGAAGTAGGGTTTGGGTTCCCAAATCCTCAAGCCTTCCCCCCAAACCTCAAACCCTAAGCCCCAAGCCACAAACCCTAAACCCCAAGCCCTAAACCTCAACCCCAAGCCCCAAACCTTAAACCCTAAACCCCAAGCCCTAAACCCTTAACCCTCAACCCTAAACCCTAAACCCCAAACCCCAAACCCTAGAACCATCTCCTAAGCCCCAAACCGTAAACCCTTCCTTAAACCCCTAAACCCCAAGCCTTCAACCCTAAATCCCAAACCACAAGCCCTAAACCCTAAACCCTCAACCCTTTGAGCGCCTAGCGCTAAACCCTAAACCCTCAACCCTGTGAGCGCTAAAACCTAAACCCTAAACCCCAACACTCTGAGTGCCTTGCTCTTTTCTCAGTCGTCCACCGATCGCGTCGAGCTACTGGAGCTGCCACCTGTCTAAGGTTGGAACCATGGGTTTAGGTTTTTGGGCTTTGGGTTTTTAGGGTTTTAGGGTGTCAGGGTTATAGGGTTATAGGGTTATAGGGTTTTATTGTTTTAGGGTTTTAGGGTTTTAAGGGTTTTAGGGTTTAGTGTTTTCGGGTTTTGGGGCTATAGGGTTATAGGGTTATAGGGTCTAGGGTTTTAGGGTGTAGGGCTTAGGCTGAAGCAAAACCCGAATCCCGAAAGCTAAGCGTTTAGGGCTTATCAGCATCTGACATAGGCTTTGGCATCCGGAAGATTTTCTCGGGGGGAGAGTCGCATGGCTCGCGGGTGTTGCCTTTCAGTTTCGGGTTTCCAGGCGAATTTCGGGGAAGACAGCTGGAGTTCCGTTCTGTGCCTGAAAAAGGAAAATATGTAGCCGCGGTAGCCCAGTGAAACTCTTTCCCTTTTGGGGTCTGGGGTTCCTCTGTAAAAAAAGTCCCAGACCAGAAAAGTTCAGGCTGCTGTAGGGTTTAAGGAGGTTTAGGGTTTAGGGCTTAGTAACCCTACACCCTCAACCCTCAACCCTCAACCCTCAACCCTAAACCCTAAACCCTAAACCCCCTTGCCCCTTGCCACCACAAGAGGCTGCTGCAAGACCTGTGCTGGGAGCACATGGGCCAGGAGGCGCTGGAGGAGGAGCCGAACTTACAGGGTTAAGTGTTTAGGGTTTAGGGTTTAGGGATTAGGGTTTAGGGATGTAATTTGGGGGGGGGGGGGGGGGGTTCCCCTTGTTTAGGGTTTAGGGTTAGGGCGTCTTTCCCGGCCCACGAACCAAGCCCGGATGCAAAAAAAGGGTTTAGGGTTTAAAGTTTAGGGTTTAGGCTTTAGGGTTAACGGTTCTCTTGGGGCTTGTTTAGGCGCCGTGAGGGTTTCAGAAGTATCAGTATGGGCTCTTGGGTTTTCTAGCATTTGTACTGCCTGCATTTGTTTGGGGCCCCTCCGAAAGGCCCTTGTATGCTACCGGGAGCAATGGACTCGGATGCAAAGGAGTCCCCTTAGTCCCCTTATTCCCTTTTTGGTGGAGTTTGGTCTTGTAAGCACAAACTTACTTCTCCAACAGCTGAACTTTAAGCTTTTTGGGTTTCCTTATTTAGTAGGAATAATAAAGCTTAACCTTTTGTTCCCCTAGGTTATTGGAGAAGTAAGCAAAAGGGCACCCTTGTGTTAATTTCTGGGCAACGCACTCTCCTCCCGACACCAGCGCAGGAGTGTCGGCTGCAGGGCATCGCGCAACCCGAGGCGCAGGACGACCCGGGGACGAAGGGCCCTAAACCCTAAACCCTAAACCCTAAACCCTAAACCCTAAACCCTAAACCCTAAACCCTAAACCCTAAACCCTAAACCCTAAACCCTAAAACCTAAACCCTACACCTTAAACCCTAAAAACCCTAAACCCTAAACCCTAAACCCTAAACCCTAACCCTAAACCCTAAACCCTAAACCCTAAACCCTAAACCCTAAACCCTAAACCCTAAACCCTAAACCTAACCCTAAACCCTAAACCCTAAACCCTAAACCCTAAACCCTAAACCCTAAACCCTAAACCCTAAACCCTAAACCCTAAACCCTAAACCCTAAACCCTACACCCTAAACCCTAAACCCTGAACCCTGAACCCTGAACCCTAAACCCTAAAGAGACGGTCACCTTAAGAACCCAAAACCTACCTTTTTGGTAGGCACTGAGTATCAAGCCTCTGACAGGATTCCTTGTGCAACCTACCGAAAAGCAGGTGTTGTGTTCTTGGGATTAGAGTCGGGATGTCCCCTATTAGCAGTCCTGAATAGGTAGGGGTGCTATAATCCCAATTGAGGACTGCTAGAAGAAGGGGGGAACATGCCCAAACCCTCTAAACCCCGAAGCCCCCCAAACCCCAAACCGTAATCCCCAAACCCCAAACCCCTAAACCCTAGACCCTAAACCCTAAACCCCCCTTAGGTCAGGGTACTATATTGCGAGTAAGGACTGTTAGTAGAAGATGGAACATCTCAAGGTTAGAGTTGCGAGCTTTGGGCTCTGCAGGAGACGCAGCTGCTACTGCGCGCGATGCGCAGCCGCCTTCGCCAGGCCGGATCTGGGCTTCGAGGTTTTACGGTTTAGGGTTTTAGGGTTTTAGGGTTTTAGGGTTTAGGGGGTAGGGGTTTAGGGGTTTAGGGGTTTAGGGGTTTAGGGGTTTAGGGGTTTAGGGGTTTAGGGGTTTCGGGGTTTAGGGGTTTAGGGGTTTAGGGTTCAGGCTTTAGGGTTTGGGGTTTGGGGTTTAGGGCAGATTCGGATTATCCGAGGCTCCCTTGTCTCTAATCTGCAGGGTTACAGGTGTTTTTTGTATGAGAACAGGGCATGTAGGGTGCAATGATAGGGCTTACAGATGTATACTCTCACGCTCTACAGCGTTATAGGGGTATCGGAACGCTAAACCCTAAACTGGAGAGCTACTGGATGTTTGCATACCTTTGTACAAGTACTAACTATAGTAAAGGGACTTATAACCTAATTTAGGATCCTTACAACCTAATTAATTTAGGGTCCTTATAACTGTACGAAAAACTAGGGGGGCCCCTTCTTCTAGGTATCTCCTCACTTCAAGATTCTGAGACCCACAGCTGCGAGAGGCTCTGCGTTGGTCGACTCTCGTTGCCTGGCTCACAACATGGGCATCTGGGGAGACTTTGGGGGGGGGAGATCTGTTCTGGCTTGTTTAGGGTTTAGGTTTTAGGGTTTAGGGTTTAGGGTTGAAGGGGGTTGAATGGTTCAGCGCATCAGGGGTTTAGGGGTTTGGACTCAGCCTTTTTTGGGTTGTGTGTATCCTTTGCTTCTTTGTTTCTTACGGTTTGGTGTACGCACGCTACCTCGAAGGGGTGCCTCCATAGGAACATCCACATGATGCTGGGGATGTTGAGCCGCAGGGGCTGTGCCAAAGCCTTTTGAAACTGTTCAGTTCTTGGTGGCTTTGCGAGTATACTTGTGTGGCTGGGTTTGCTGCTTACCCTAAAAACCAAAGACCGACTTCTTTGCAGGTTGCCTGAGACTATAAGGGGTATGATGTAGGTATGCTGTCACGGAATCCTGCTTGTGGTGGCGGGTAGGCCGGGCACCACTTTGCGTGACAGACGTTTGGGGTGTTCTGTTCTGGCGCTGCTTGCGCGGTTTTGGGGCGTGCTCAGACCCTAACCCTAAACCCTAAACCCTAAAACCCTAAAACCCTAAAACTCTAAAACCCTAAAACCCTAAAACCCCAAAACCCTAAACCGGTTTCAGCACGGATGGAGTTCCACGGGGGATTGGCAGGCATTGCCTTGAGTTCGGAGTCAGCTGCTCAGGATACGGAGAAGCTGCGGGAGGCGTGCGAAATGCGACACATGGCCTCCCAAGGCAGGCTGCGGTTTAGGGCTTTGGGTTTGGGTTTTAGGGTTTAGGTTTGCCTGCAAGCCTCAAAAGAAGGCCCTTCGTAACCCGAGGCAAAACCTAAAACCATCTAACATTGCAACCCTAAGCCCCAATTAAACCCTGAGCCCTACACCCTCAAACCCAAGGTTCTCGGGCGGTTAGGCGTTCAGGTCTGTGAGCCTTGGAAGTCCCGAACCCAAACGCTTTGATTTGGGAACCTCTTTTTGGGTAAACCCGCGGGACATTTTCCATTTTCTGGTACTGGGGTTCAAGAGGATCAGATTTGGGAGTGTTTTTTTTTGAGGGCTTTGTGGGCCATTCTTATCTAGGTCTTCTGAGCCATTTGAACCCAAGCCCTCTTCTGCCCAATGCTTAATCCCTAAGCACCCATCAAGCCCTGACACTCTTAGGCTCCAAACCCAAAACCCAAAGCCCAAAACCCGAGACCCGGCTGGTCTGCTTGCCCTAAACCCTATAACCCCAAGCCGGAACCCCTAAACCCAAAACCCTGAACCCGGAACTCACAGATCTACCCCAAAGGGTTTCGGCTTTCTTGCTACATTCGGGCTATCCCAAACGCAAAGCCGTAAACCCTAAACCCGAAACCCCTATGAAAACCAGCATTGCACCAAAGCACCAAAGCCCCAAAAAACCGGAGGCTGCACGCGATCGCAGCTTCTGGACTCGCTGAAGACCTTTAAGGCAGGACTTTCTAGACCCGAAGCCCTCCAGGGTTTAGGGTTTAGGGTTTGGGATCCCCAAAGCCGCAGAAAATCTGAAAGCCAGGCTCCGTGACTTGTCATCCGAAGTCACTAGGCAGGCCGCGTCTCGGAAAGGAGCTGAGAGGGCAACCTACTGACCTACTGAATCTTTGAAGGGAATGAGGGAACCCTAAACCCTAAACCCTAAACCCTAAACCCTAAACCCCAATGTAACCCCCAACGGGGTAAGTGAGAAAGAATCGCAGAACTGCAAGTCATCCCTCACCTAAGCCCGGTCAGAAATCGAGATGGTAAAGGCACTAGGCCTACCCTTGCTGAACCCTCAAACCCTGCAGAGGTCGAGCAAGCCAAACGGCCCACAGTCTACAAAGCCTATGTGCACACTAGGGTTTAGGGTTTAGGGTTTAGGGTTTAGGGTTTAGGGGTTGGGGGTTGGGGGTTGGGGGTTGGGGGTTGGGGGTTCGGGTTTGGGGTTTAGGGTTTAGGGGCAGCGCAGGTGATGCCGAAGCCCAAGCCCAAGCCGAAGCCGAAGCCAGAGACGAGGCAGGAGTAGGGGTGCTGAAGAGTTTGGGGTTTGCTGTTAGGGGTTCAGGGGTTTAGGGTTTAGGGTTTAGGGTTTAGGGTTAGTAATGAGCCTATGCGTACCATCTGAAAGAAGGCAGGATGCACCTCAGTTTCGGGTTTTCCTGCTCAAAAGCACTTTTGTAAAGTGTCGGGTTCCGGTGTGGCTTAGGGTGCTGAGTACTTTGAAGATTTCTTTTTCTTCCTTGATGGTGTGCCTACATGGTTTAGGGTTTAGGGAAGCTCGTTACGAGCAACTTTTGAAGTTGGCCCGAAGCCCAAAGCCCCCACTTATTGATTGAACTCACACTTATAGTCACTTTTCATATACTGGCACGGTGGCATGTCAATGTCACGTGGCTTGGGTACGTACTCCAAAAATGTACGGGTTTGTATTGGAATTGTCACCCGAATGTTGACAGGCCCACATGCCCGCAAGAACTGCGAAACAAAGCTGACACACCATGATACACGCATATAACCCTGCAAACCTTAAGCCCTTCAGCCCCTAACCCAATAAACCCTAAGCCCTAAACCCTAAACCCTAAAACCTAAACCCTAAACCCTAAACCCTCAACCCTCAACCCTCCACCCTCAACCCTCAACCCTCAACCCTCAACCCTCAACCCTCAACCCTCAACCCTAAACCCTAAACCCTAAACCCTAAACCCTAAACCCTAAACCCTAAACCCTAACCGAAAGTCTGGCAAAGGCCGCCTTCCAGACCTGCACCGCCCCCAAGGCGCCTGGGCCGTGTGTGCGTGTTGTTGGACACTTAGGGTTTAGGGTTTCGGGTTTAGGGTTTAGGGTTTAGGAGCCCAATTCCCATTCCATTTGCTTCTAGCACCGCCCAAGACCCCTGGCTTTTGCTTATAGCACCGCCCATGACTCTTTTCATTCGCTTGTAGCGCCTCCCAAACCCACCCCAGTTCAGGTTAGGTTATTTGGCGTGGAATAGGTAAGGTAGTGGGATTAGGTGGTTGCTTTGGTTTTTTATAGAATGAGTAAGGCGATGACCCCTAAGATTCTGAGAGACAAGAATGCAGGCCCCACCGCAACGCCGGCAAGGAGCACATCGTCTTTTAATGGAATATGCAGCCCAATGACTAACTTTGATCTCCCCTAAACCCCAGACCCTCAACTCTAAACCCCAAACCTTCTCACTTGGGCGGAGGAGTGAACCCCAGCCTAAACCCCAGACCCTCAACTCTAAACCCCAAACCTTCTCACTTGGGCGGAGGAGTGGGGGGGGAGGTGGGGGGGGAGAGCCGCCATCTGCCCTTGAAGGCCCTCGGCCGCCTCTGCATCCTCGGCCGGTCCCCCGCAGGTCGATGAGGCCCGGGCTTAAGGGGGTTTAGGGTTTAGGGTTTGGGGTTTAGGGTTTAGGGTTTAGGGTTTAGGGTTTAGGGTTTAGGGTTTAGGGTTTAAAAGGGGCACACCTCCGGGGCTCCCAGGGCAACAAGGCTTTGTCATAGTGGGGTAACACTTTCCATTGTTAAGGGTACGTAGTCTCAATAAGGAATAGGAATTTTGATTTTAAATGCTGTACCGCTAAACTGAAAGGGTTTTTGAGTTTCGGGTTCTGGATTTAGGGGAGGACTGGGTTTGGGGTTTAAGTTTCTGGGGTCTGGGGCAGTAATGGTTTAGGGTAGTCATACTCCCCTTCTTGAACTGTGGCGGGGGTCCTTGCCATGATTTGAGGTCCCCTCCATCATTTTAGGGTGCAGTGGGCCAGTAAGCCCTACCTCTGAATTCAGGAATAAGCCTCAGTTCGCATTTCAGGAAGATAGCTCAAACTATGTCAGGCTACTTTGGGGTGATGCCCTGAATGTTGGGTGTTGGAGAGAAAAATCCGCAAAAAAACCAGGATGGGTCGGTGCAGTACCCCGATTGGATGACGGACCGCGTACGGCGACTCTGTGCGAAGTACCCCAACTTCTCTGGAGAGCTCCTTGGGCAGAGTGGATTGAGGGTTTAGGGTTTAGGGTTTAGGGTTTAGGGTTTAGGGTTTAGGGTTTAGGGTTTAGGGTTTAGGGTTTAGGGTCAGGGCCAAGCACAGTTGGAGTGTGCGTGAGTATATGGCGCCCTCTTTATGGAAGCTAAAGTCACTCAAAAGCGCACTCCCGGGGGCCAGATTCTAATGGTTGACTTTTCAAGTTTTGTGGGTGCTAGAATAGCCCTAGGGAACCCCAGTACTAAAACGGCCCTAAGTCTCATCAGTCCAGGCCATACGAGTTTAGGTTTGAAAGCAGGATGGCTTGAGTACTAGCTTGACTGCGACACCTGGACACAGATGCCTCGCCTGGTTCGGTAATGAACGCCCCAGTCTCTCTCTCTCTCTCTCTCTCTCTTTGGGTTAAGGGTTTAGGGTCTGGAGAACAGCCGGGCCTTTGGTTTAGCCTTGCACTGGGCGCTATTTAGCATCGACATGTGGGGCTTCCACAAATTCGGGGGAGGGGGAGGGGGTGGGGGGGGGTGGGGGGGTGGGGGGGTGGGGGTGGGGTAGAAGGGCCCTAGTCCGGTAGACTCCAAGAGTGAACCTGAAGCCTGTCTGGCAGGTTCCTGCAGGAAATGGAGGACCCTTGGATGGAAGCAAAGTTCCGGTGATTTCTTCAAGACTGCAGAAACATTTAGGGTTTAGGTTGAAGGTTTAGGGTGTTGTCAGAATTCGGGATTCCCATATGAGGTACCCTTGCCTCATGTATTAGGCTTGCAGCTTCCTAGAATTCAATAGTGGGTTTCAGCTTAGGGGCTTGGGTTTAGGGTTTATAGAAATAGTATAGGGTTTGGGTCCCAGTAACGTTTTTTTTGTGACCGGCCAGCCTCCAAAGCGGACCGCAAGAGCAAAAGGTTGGCCAAAAAGAGCTGTTTTTTTGGCCGGTCAGCCTTTTCACCTCTTCGGAAGAGGAGAGGCCGGCGCGACAGGGTGTTGCACGAGTTTCTGTTGTTGTTGTTGTTGTTGTTGTTGTTGTTGTTTTTTTTTTTTTTTTTGTGGGGGGGGGGGGGGGGGCTTTGTTTGCCTTTTGGTGGTTTTGGGGAGCAGGGTTTTGGGTTTTGGGAAGCCGTTTAGTTCTCCTTCATCAATGCTCCTTCGTTCAAACGCACGTGGAAGCTAATCTCCCAATGTCAGACCACTGCAGAGTACAATGAAATTCATTAATCCTCTTGGTGGCCATCCTCCTGTCATCAGGGCTGATCTTCAGGCCCCCAAGAAATATCGCAGACCTGCTCCTGCAGTGGTGGCCTTTCAGAGGGTCAGGTCTGGAGCTGATCTGGCTCGGGAGCGTTCTCTCGAGAGGCGGATGAAAGCTCCTTCATCAAGTTTGCGCCTGGTGAGTTTTACCTTGGGAGACGGATTTTGAAGGACCAACCTTTGGGCCCTGCACTGATTCAGAGCCTCAAACATGTGTTTTCAGGAAGGGTTGCAGAGACCTTGCATTCAAGAGCCAATACAATCCCATTTTCCGTTTTCTCAAGTGGTGCAAGGATCGTGGCATTGATGCGTTTCCACTGGAGGAAGCTCCGGTGTGCTCCTTCTGCATGAAGATGGAACCTGATGCCAGTGCCACCACATTCTTGAATGGTTTCGTCACTTCGCTCAGGTTTTGCCATTTTGTTTTTGGAATGCGGGGGGCCGAGGAGCCGGCCAGGAGCAGGCGCGTTGTCGGTGTCGCTCGGACCATGTATCTCACGAAGAGGAAGAAGGACCAGAAGCCTCCTCTTACAGTTGCAATGGTCAAGACTTTGGAAGACGTCACGTGTGATTCCGTGTGATCGTCTGGCAACATCAGTTGATCGTGTGGTAGCTGGCTTCTTTGTTCTCATCGTCTTCATGCGAGCTAGATTTTCAGATGGTCTGGAGTCTGAACATGGAAGATTTGCATGAGGGTATGTATATCCCTGAATCCAATCCGGACGGCATGGATGGACATGCGGAAGCTTCGCTGGACAGGACTAAGGCTGCTTATCCGACGGAATGCAAGGCCATGTTTTTGCCCATGGCATGCCTACGTGGATGCGTGTGCGTCGTAAGGCAGGCGTACCGTCTGGTCCTGGCATTCCATTGCTTCCGGCAAGGGCTCAAGCCAGTGCGGCGCCAAAGAAAGTTCAAAGTCGGACGTCCTCTTCTTGCTGGTGAGCAAACCGTGACCAACAGAAAGCTTCAGCCGGTGCTGGACGTCAGAAGGCGTACGTCGGGCCAACGTGGCATGGTTTTCAATATGATTTGATATGATTTGCTCTTCTGTCCTCCTAGACCCACATCCTCAAGGCTCCCAAGGCCGGGTGTGCTGACGCTCCGCGGAGATGGCAACGGAGCGCAGGAAGTTAGAAGCCACAGTGGGGGGCCTTGCGTGTGGCAAAAGCATTCGAAAAGCTGGAAATCCTTATCCTTGTGCATTTTATGAAGGAGAACTACTTGGAAAAGCATTCCAAAAGCTGGAAGTCCATATCCTGGTTCATTTTATGAAGGAGACCTACCTGGAAAAGCTCTCCAGTAGCTGGCAACCCTTGTCCTGGCGTATTTTATGATCCTGGTGCATTTTATGAAGGTCGAGAACTACTTCTTTAAAAGCCTTTCAAAAGCCGGAAATCCTTATCCTGGCGCAGTATATGAAGGAGAACTACCTGGAAAAGTTTTCCAAAAGCTGGAAATCCTTCCGCAAATCATTACGTCTTGCGTCTCTTCAGCTGGCTGACCTCAGTACTCCTCCTGCATAAAATGCACCAGGATGAGAATTTTCCTGCTTTTGGAAGGGTTTTCCATCCAGGTAGTTCTCCTTCATAAAATGCACCAGGATAAGAATTTCCCGCCTTTGGACAGCTTTTCCAGGTACTTGTCCTTCATCAAACGCACCAGGATAAGGATTTCCAGCTTTTGGAAGCTCCCGGTCACGGGGCCTGGCAAATACAAAGGTTTCAGTAAATTATCATATGGCCAGCCGGGCCGTCTTCCATCGATGTACTACAGCCGGGGCTTTGAGCAGTTCCAGCTTGGTTTGGAAAACCACTTGGAAAATGCAGACTGGCGCCACATACAATTTCTATTTAATTTGTCTTGAAGGTGCAGGGTTTTGGGTTTGGGGTTTAGGCCCTAGACGCAGCTTGGCGGGTGGCCAAAAGAAACCAATTCCTCTTTCACAATACCAAACCTTCCCTCTCTCCAAACATAATTTAGCAATTGGGATGTTCTCCCTTATACTAACAGTCCTTAATAGGGAATACAGCACCCGTTATTATCCCTATTGAGGACTGTTAGGATAAGGGGGAACATCCGAATTTAGAATGCAGTATACCATTCTTGGAAAATATTCAACGACACGACAAGGGGTTTCGAGGGGTTTGGGAGGGGGGGGGGGGGGAAGATGAAGTGCCAGGGGTCGGGGAATGAACCGTAGCAACCTAGGGTTTAGGGTTTAGGGTGGCCCCATGAAGGAGCTTCATAGTCTTTGGAGTTCCATTTGATGTTTCTTTAACGTTGCCTTCGCTGAAACCCCGACCGAGGGATGCCCGGAAGTTCTTCGTGATAAGGGTTTTAGGGCTTTGGGGGCTCTAGGGCTGCAAGGGTTCTTAGAGCTTTTTTGGGTTCTTAGGCCTCTTCGAGTTTTTTGAGTTTGAGGGTTTGTTTAGGTGCCTGACTTACGGCTAGCACATCTTTGGAGTGGCGTGCCCAGGACTGGCAAGATCAGGACGCCGGCTTGCGAATGTTTTCCCGTGTCCTTGCGAGCGAACCTGCAGAAGCTGGGGGTAACCTGGCTAGCGCTGTTTAGGGTTTGGGATTTAGGGTTTATAAGGGTTTAGGGTGCCAATGATCTACCATAGCAAAGTGTCACAATGGGTCGGCCCTGACCATGGCCTTCGGGTTTTGTTTGTTGTTCAAGCTGCTTCTGTTGTCAAGTGAAGTGATATCCCGAACCCCCCCCCCTGAACAACTAGTTTATAGGGTTTAAAGGTTTAGGGTTTATAGGGTTTAGGGTTCAGCAAGCGTCCCCGCGGAAAAGTTGCGGTCCACGTGCCGGTTCATGAACCCTCAATCCTCCCAACCCAAAAAAGCCATCAACGGTTCAGGGAGCTTAGGGTTTAGGGTGCCCTAAAGCCCCAAAGCTCCAAACGCAACGTCTTCAAATCTCCGCAGGATGTGGAGATGTACCTATATTCCAACGGGTTCCTCAAGCCTGGCAAGAAGAAGGCTGAGCGGTACGTGAGCCTAACAAGAATTTAAAATTCACAAACTTCCAAATTGAAGTTCAGAAGTTGCTTCCTCAGGCGTGTGAATGGTGTGATTCGGCCATCCCATCTAGTCAGCCTACAGCGAAAGTATCAGGCAGACCCATCCGCAGTGGTTCGGGCTGGGTTGCCGAAGCATTCAGGGCCGAAGGTTTTCCTCACAGCCGTTGTTTCATTGTAACCCCCTAAACCCTAAACCCTAAACCCTTAGCCCTTAACCCTTAAACCCTGAACCCTAAACCCTAAACCCGCTTCTGCACTATCATGAAGGTGTACAGGATTTCCGTACTTCCAGGATGCTGACGGACTCCTTTAGATATTCTAGAATTATGCCATCATAGACCCGGAGGAACACGGTGACGAGCACACCTGTAAAGACGTGTAAGTATATGTATATATACATATACATCTATATCTATATCTACATCTATATCTGTAACGGTACCTGTATCTATATCTATATAATTGTATCTATATCTATATATACATGTCTACATAAGCGTACACACTCACATACAGACTCTCTGAAATCCCCATACCCTAAACCCTAAGCCCTAAACCCTAAACCCTAAACCCTAAACCCTAAACCCTAAACCTTTGCGTTAAATTGATGTTCAGGGCCGGCCGCGCCCTGCCGTGCCGCTGTCGGTGCATTTTGCCGCCCTTGGGCTCGAGCAGACCGCCTCAGCCACTGAGGCATCGCTCCGCTCGGTTGAGGGTTGAGGGGTTAGGGTTTAGGGGTTTAGGGGTTTAGGGTTTAGGACTTAGGGTTTAGGGTTTAGGGTTTAGGGTTTAGGGATAGGGATAGTGGTGGAAAGTAGTCGTTGCGACTGTTGATAGTGATTCGTAATGGTTGGGAGTCATTGTTCATAATGGAATTCAACGACAACAGGGAATGTGATGGTTGATGTAGTTCGCACCGCTGGTTCGTGATGGTCTCTAGAGTTAATATTAGAGTTAATACAATCAAGGTAGTCATTGTGAATACTGGTTAGTTAAACATGATACACACATGATGGCTATGTTTCATGAACTGATGGTTGTGAATGGCTGATGAGTACCGATGGTCTGCTTGTTCGCGGTGGTTGATATGGGTGGTTCACAATAATTAAAGTTCTGAGTGGTGATGCCAATCATGGTGGTTGACCAAGGTCTCTGATGGCAGATAAGAATGGTGGTTTTGGAAAGTAAGTAGTACATAATCAACAGCAATATCGAAGTTCTTAATGATTGGGAATGGTAGCTGATGTTGTTTTTTTTATACTGGTGTTGTACTGGTTGATCATGGCTAGAAAAGCTAACTTGTGTTTGCCAACCGGGAGTGAAAGTGGGGATTGATGCCAACCGGGCGTCATAGTGTGATTGACCGCGCATGAATGCACATCAGTGAGCAAGTCCATGGATGTACGAACCGACCATAGCACTAGCCACGAAGGTGCGCAAGGCCTATCGGCGATTGGCATTAGTGTACCACCCAGAGACTTGTCTGAGCCGCGAGGGCGCATAGTGTGGGAGAGGAGTTCGGTGCGCTCATGTACTAGGATCACGAGTAGGCCCTTATTCCCCTCTTTTAGGGCTTAGGTTCCCTTATAAGCCCCCTTTAACCAAAAAGGGCACCCTTGTTATCCCTAGGTTAATCTTGGGTCAAATCTAAGGGTAGTCACATGGGCCCCTTTAGTATGGGCCCTTAATTTGGGGACCCCAGATGTACCCACTCACACCCGAGGACACAAACTTCAGAACCCTTCAACGACGGCACGAGACCCTAAACCCTAGAAACCATGTAACTACCCTGAGAGTGCCCTCAACCCTAACTCTCTAGGTCCTCAACACTCATGTTCCAGATGGTCCAAGATACGTTTTAGGGTTTAGGGCTGAGGGCTTTCCGTGCTTAATGAAAAGGTTTAGGGTTTCGGGTTTAGGGTTTAGGGTTTAGGGTTAGGGTTGCCTCTCAGGGGCCTTCCGGGGGCTTCTATTGGCCCGCCCAAAACCCCCCAACAACAAGCTTTCACGACCTAGCTTTGGTTAAAGAGAGCCGTAGTTTTACTTTCAAGGCAAAGTTGTACTCGGAAACCACCCTTGATTAAACTCCGACCCAGTCTCGCGCATAATCTCGACCCCATAGTCTCATCAATAAGCTGGTGCTGCTCTGCTGGCGGCAGCCATTCTTTGAAAAGCCGGGGATTCTCCTAAACATTTGCTCTTAATTAAACTTCTGCGCGCAAGTTACTTTGCATCCTTCGGCTACAACTTAACAACTTCCGCGCGACGTACAGCCACACCCTAAAGCCTAAACCCTAAAACCCTAAACCCTTAAACCCTAAAACCTACACCCTAGACCCTAAACCCCCTAAAAGCCCCCATGAGCCCCCTACTAACAGTGCTGCCCAAGACACTGGGTAGCCCAAGGGTACCCTTTACCCTTTGTTTAAACCAAAAAAAGGGTTTAGAGTTTAGGGTTTAGGGTTTAGGGTTTAGGGTTTCATAAGATGGTTCCTGGGCTCCCAAGGACAAGAACCCCGAGGATCCGGAAGCCGCCGCGGAGTCTCGGCTTGACTTTCAGGGAGGTGTCGGAAGAAGGGGGTTTAGGGTTTAGGGTTTAGGGTTTAGCGTTTAGCGTTTAGGGTTTAGGGTTTAGGGTTTAGGGCTCAGGGTTCGGGGTGTAGGGCTCGGGTTTAGGGCTAGGGATTGGGGGTTTAGGGTTTTAGGGGGCTTCAGGTTTAATTAGGGCTTAGGGTTTAGGGTTTATTCAGGATACAGCTTCGGAAGGTCCCAGATCCCCTGCGAGGGTTTAGGGTTTAGGGTGCGGAGCTGCAATTGGTATTGTAGAAAGGAGTTAGTGTTGGAAGTTGGAAGGGTTAATGAACCCGGTAATCGTATTTGGCTCAAGATGGGCTTGAACAGAAAGCCACAAGTTCAAAAAGAAGTGCCTGGGTTCTTAGGGTTTGGTAAGGGTGTGGATTCCTTCCCCCTTTCCTTCCCCCCTGGGTTGCTCTTATCCGTGTTCTTGGTTGTTTCTTGGTTCGATCTGGGAAATATAAGTTCAGGGCGATTAGGGGAGTTGATTTCCTTCCTTGGTTGTCCCCCCGTAGGTTATGAGCCCAAATTAGGTTCCCTGCGGTTAAGTGTTCTTTCAAGGTTTTTGGGATCAAGAAGCAATGCCTTCCCCGAAGCGATGGCTCCAACTTGCCTCGGATGGTGGACAAGATGGTGGAGCTGGAAATGGTGCAGCTGAGTCTCTGGGTGAAAGATCGGTGTTGGAAGAGGTGATTCCCGACGCTGAAGTACATCTGGAAGAGGCCTTAGTTGCAGAAAGCCCCAATGCGGGTATGAATCCCAATAGGGATATGGTTAGCAATGCTGAAGCTGAAGGACGTGCTGTTTCTGTACCGCCAAAGCCTGGTGAAAAAAGGAACTGGGATGCGACTGGTGGCATAGATCGTGAAATGGAGGTGACTGTTTTACGAGTGTTACACAAACACGGGTACCAGCCGTCGTCTTCGACTTCGGGTCGAATGGTAGACCAAGAGTCTCAGACCGATCTGATTGGAGAAGTGCTACAAGCGACCAGGAGGCCGTTGAACAAGATCAAAAAGGGTCCATCTTCGAGTTCCCAAGGTGGTGGAAGCGGTCACAAACAGAAGGGTGCGGACGGCTTTGAAGCTGCACCTGCTGCTGAATACGCCATGGGGGAGGAGGAGATCCTACAGATGGAGGCTGAACGGTTGCGACAGCTGTCAGAAGAAGAGGACGAGATGCGACAGGTTTCTGAAAGGGACGGTTTTCGGAAAGACGAGCATCTGATCCAAGCGTGTGATGGCACAATGTGGGAATTGCACCTCCATGAAGATGGGAGACAATATTATTACTGCCTGGATACGCACGAAACCAAGTGGACATTGCCGGTGGTAGGTGAAAAGGTGAAGAGTGACGAGGTGGTTGGGTCTCCTTTGGGCAATGAGCTGGAAATGGAGGCGGCACTGGATTCTTCATCCTCTACTCCGAAGACTGAGTCTACGAGGGCATTCCAGGGTAGTGTAAATAGTTTAGGTGAAAAAGATTTTTCCTCTACTATCAGGGATAGCGGTCCTAGGGCTGATGGTGACGCCCCGACCTCGGGTTCTCCTGATGAGGAAGGGATTCCTGGGAACCAAGCCAACATCGCTGGAGCTCAACACCTGGATCGGGAAGAAACAGAAGCGCTTTCTGAGGGTGGGGCAGCGATGGAATTGGTGGATCCAGAAGAGAAAATGCCCAATGAGGTGATCGGAACTGTGTCGGCTGCAGAAGAGCGAGTGGTGGATGTGGTACCTGTTGTTCAGGAAGGTGGTCCTGGAGATTCGGAGGATGGAGAGAAAAAGTTGTGTGTTACGACTGAGGAGGTCTCTTCGTTTGGTGCCAAGAATTCTGCCATTCAAGGGGAAAAAGAAGCTTCTGGAATAGCTGGAGACACGGATGATCTGAAAAATGAGGCCTGGAGCGCCAATGATGCGCGGGTTGATGCGCCAGATATTACCTGGAGTGCGAAGGAAGCACGGGTTGAGGTGCATGTGGTGGTACGTTCCACGGGCGACTGCAACAATGGGGCGCAGGTCTCCGCAGCAGCTGATGATGGAGGTTCACAGGTGGACGCACTGGTGCAACCTGAAGTTAGCAGCGAGGAACGAAATGACAAGGGCTACACCGGAGCCAATGAGGCAGCTGTGGTCAATGATGGTGGAAATTCTCCTTTGGAGGCCATGGAACCAAAGGAGCCTGCGGTGGAAGAAAGCGTGCCTGCCGTGGATGATCGACTCAATTGCCCTGCAGTGGAAGAAGATTTGCCTGCTGCAGAAGGTGAGACAAAGGACTCCAATGATGGGTCCACTCCCATGAAGGGAGAAGCGTTGCCGTCTGGAAGTTCACCGGAAGTCGACACCGAGCGAACTACAGCAGATGAGGCAAAGCCGTTGGCGGAGAAAAAGGGAGGTCCTGAAATCCAGGAGCACAAAAAAGATGAGCTTGTGGGACTCGTGGAGCAGGACGAGCAGTGTGACCCAAAGGTGAAGACAAAGGATGCGCCAGGAGCCGATGATACAGAGATGGTTTCTGAAGAGCGTGTAAAGAAAGTGCCCCGAGCGGGAGCCTTGGAGTCACCTGGGCCACATTGCTATCAAGAGGGAGATGAGATCATGGGTCTAGTGCGCTGCATCAATGGGTATGGAGCCTTTTTGGACCATGGGGATATGAATGTATTGATTCCTGCAGAAGGGAACAATGCATATCAGTTCAAGTTTGGTGATACTGTCAATGGAACAGTGAAACGAGTGGAAGATGATGGTACCATAATCTTGGACACCTTTCTGGTTTTGGAAGAGGACGTGGAGGACTCTTCTTCGACGCTGCGGAAGTGGAAACCCAGCGGCTGGAGTACGTGGTGGACGGATTCATGGTATGCTGGTCAATGGTACCAAGATTCCAACGGTCAATGGGACTGGAAACAGGAGGAAGAGCAATCCGATGAAGAGCTTGTGGTACAGGAGTTGTCTTCTGAAGAACGAAAAGAAAGGCAACTTTATGGAGAAAAGATCTACAAAGCTCTTCTGGAGAATGGAAATGAAGAGGAAGCCTATGTTGGCAAAATTACTGGGATGCTGTTAGGTCGGCCGATGGAAGATTTACAGGAGTGTGTTGCGGATCAGGCATTCCTCAATGCGGAAGCTCGGCGCGCGTATGGCATCTTGCAAGATGATGGTTGGGAGCCTGATGGTACAGAAAACCCAGGTTTGGGGGAGTTAACCACCTTTTCCCGAACACAGTACCACAACGCGCTCTTCGAACTGGCACGTAGGAAAAGGAGATTTTCTCGACCAGTTGTGGGTGATGCGGTGGCAGTGGTGCTGGATCAAGGGGAAGAGGAGTTTTGGAACGCGCTTTGGTTGGACACCAAGCTATTTTTGCAGGAGCTTGATGGTGCAGTGCAATCCATGAGCAAAAGGGAGAACAAGCCAATGGAAGCCTACATGGATCCTGACCAGTACAAAAAGGCTTACATGACACCAAAGACGGTGTTGTCACCTGGTTACAGCAAGCTGTGCAGGTTCTTCAATAAGGGAAGGTGTCGCAATGGCGATGGGTGTCCCTATGAGCATCGTCGGTACGGTGAAGGTTGGCCAGAAGGGGGGTCAACTGATCCAAAGAATAGCCAAGAAGCTGATGATGAGGACGGGAACATCGGTGACCCTCCCACAGAGGAAGGTACAGTGGATGAGGCACAGCAGGAGCGGGAGGATTTAGCCTTCCGGGCCAAGTACAATTTTGGCAAAGGTGCATCAAAGGGTGAGCCTACGTCAGGTGAGCCAAAAGGTCGGCTGTGCTTGTATTACAATCAAGGTGCTTGTAAATATGGGACTGCATGCAGGTACCTTCACAACGATGATGTAGCATTGGAAGGGACTTGGGAGCCCGGCAAATCTTGGGACAATGCTTCCAGGAAGGCGCTAAGGGACGCAGGGTTCCACAATTGCTGTTTCGATTATTACCTCCGAGGACGTTGCCGGAAAGGGTTAAATTTCTGCAAGTACTCACACGACGAGATGTCCGAGGAGCGGTCAACACTCCTGAAACACCTGGTACACGTGGCCAATCAGGTCCGGTTTGAAAAGGAGAGAGGATGGGAGATCTCGGACAGAAGCACTTTTCAGCCACCTGCAAGTGGGGGAGCTGAATCTTCCTCATCCTCGGCACCAAAAGCACTGCAAATGACCAATGTGTCACAAAAAGATGGTGAAAAAGGTATTCTGGATGAAGTAGAAGCTGATGAGCAAAAGAATTCGGTGGCTGCATCCACTAGTACTCAGCTTCACAATCCGGAGGAGCCGATTGAAAATTGGATGGCTCGCAACGCACACCTGTGGGTGTATACCCCTCATGTAAGTGAGGTGATGATTACGCTTGGTGTGACCAATGTGTCGGACTTGCAAGAGTTCATCTTTGTGGAAGATTTGGTTGACAAAGGGATCAACAAAGTGACCGCATGCAAAATTCTGCAATTGGTGGGTGAGGTCCGATATCGACCGGGAGGACCGGAAAAGGCAGTTCCTTCTGATGCATCTGTACGGGTACAACAATCTTCTGGGAACAAAGGGACTGGAAGAGCGGCGGTGCGAACCCTCACTCAGGTGCGTGAAGCTGAAGACTCCGGTGCAAAAACTATGCCGAGAGGTTCCTATCGGGAGCTTTTTGATAAGGTCAGGTACCGTGATGGTTGGACGCTTGCGCAGAGGTCTCCGTTGTGCGTACAGAAGCTGCGGTTGGTGGGAGTTGGAATGCCGCCGGTGAATCCACCAACGAAAAAGTATCGGTCAAGATCAAACCCTGTAAGAAGGGGAAGGCCCTTGCTGGACAAAAAACAGGTGCGACAGGTGCCACGATCTCGGTCACAACGACGAGTGCAACTGGCGGAAGTGGTGGAAAAACCGAAGCCACTGGAGCCGGTGAAACCTCGTGGTGGTTTGTCGTATCCATTCAGCAGAGCGTGGGCAGATGTGGTGGATGATGATGACCAGGCGGAGGCTTTGGTCTCGTATGCCGCTTCCTCAAGCGATTCAAGCGAGGAGGAGACCAATGCGGTACAACGCCTGAAGGAACTCTTTTTGCAAGAAAGGGATTCGTGGAGAACTGCGAGTCGTGGCAATGTTCCACAAAGTGGTTCTTCAGGCTCCAATGATGGGCCGAAAAAATCGGTTCACCTTGGCGAAGGGCGCGACAAAGCGTCGCGGGGGGAGACCCGCCAAGAAGTGACTTCACAAGTTTTTTCGCTACCACAACCTTCTCGTCGAGCTGAACGGTCTCAAAAAAGAACAAGGGATGGTTCAGTTATGGTTGGTTCGCTGGCGGTGGGCTCCACGGATGAGGTTTTACCTGGGCAAGGTGCTGCTGGACAGGTGAATGTCTCTGAAAGCGCTCAAGTTCTTCCTGGGCATGAAGTGGCTGGACAGGAGACGGCGCCGGAAGGAGCAGTACAGATTTCTGGCGAGGAGACCGACCAAAAAGAAGGAGAAGGCGGGAGCAATGATCTCCGTGGTAATGATGCGAAGATGTTGGATGGTGGTCCGGTGAGGAGTGACCTTCAGCAATTGCTGGTGAAAGGCCTTCTGACTCGAATTTATTGGAAGGTTGCAGTTGGCAAGTTGCCAATGGGGCAAAGAGATTGCCAAAAAGGGTCCAATAAGATGGATCGAAATTTGGTTATTAGCATGTCATCCGAGGGTGCAAGCGAACAGGATGAGAACCTGGCACTGGAGGACGATGCTGATCAGTCAATGGGAGACGGTGCAATGGTTATGGTGTATGATCCAGGAACGCTGATCCAGTCGCCAACAACTGATTGGGTTATGCGTCGCGGTCTGACCGATCGTACCGTCTGGCCAGCAATGGCGCACCTGGCACAGAGGATATGTGCTGAAATGGTTCAAGTGGATGAAATGAATGCCCAGCTAGGGACTGGAACACTCCTTTTTCAAAGGAGAGATCAAGGATATTATACTGACCTGCATCATTCGTTCCATGACAACCCGTGCTTGCCGGCGGTGGGGAATTACCCTCTTTCGGTGATGGGTGCCTTGTTGTCTCCTGGTCTGGAAGGGGAATTCAAGAATACGGACAAGTTTGGTACTGCTATGGAGGCAATTGCCTATGATTGGAGCCGCAGTCCAGGCATGGAAGTTCATATTGAACTTATGGCGAGGGTAGCCAAAATGGTTCACCCATTCCTGAATCTGGGAGCACAAGGGTCGGTGATGGTTTCAGAATTTCTCTGGCAGCGCGGGAGGGCTCGGTTGATGGAGTTTCTTCAAGCGGCGACTTGTGCGGACCAATTGGAGGCTCTCTGGAGAAGGATGGACGACGATGCGGATGAGGAGGTGGATCCTTCGACAGCGATGCTGGAAGTTCTTGGACTAGAGGATGCGGTGCTTGATCAAGGGAACAATGAATCCCTTATTCCCATTGAAGATGCTGGAGGTGAGACAAGCGGTGACACTGGAGGGAAGGGCAAAGCGCCAGAAGTTTCTCCGGAAGAGGAGAAATCCAGTGGGTCATCCAGACTGGCGGACACAAGGATTTTCTTGTGGTCAGTGTACTCCCGCGTGGCTTCGAATTTCTCTATGCAGGACCGCACTACTGGTAAGATCTTTGACAGCACCAAAGGATATCCTGGTGAAGGACCAAACAATGATGACAATCCTTCCTCTAAGGGGAACTTTCCCTGGATTTCAGAAGACTACCTCGACGAAGTGGTGTCAAAAAAGATGGAAAGGTCTTCAGAGATGGATGGGTTTGTTCCGGGAAGTGAGGGATCATTGGAAAAGGTAGAGGTGGAGAATGTACTGCCTCTAAAATTCTTATGGCTCTTTGGAAGAAGGGACATAGAGTTGGGTTTAGAAGGTTGCGTCGTTTGAATGCATCTGGATGCAAGGTTGGAGCAATGAAACGTCCAATCAAAAGGGTGCAGAAGATTGGCGCTAGGAAGGCCTTCATGAAGATGTTCAATGTTTTTGGATCGTCTCAGCATGGCTCAGGAGTTGGCGGAAAACCGATCATGAAGGTGGTAGGACCAAGGCCAGGTTTTCCAGCTGTACTCCAAGCACCAAATACTGATAGCACGTCGGGTGAAGGGAGCAGTCCCCAGGTACATGGCAATGTTCATGTAGAGCACAGTCGCCCTATGGACCGGTATGAGGCAGAGCGCTTGGAGAAGAGGAAGAAGGGTTTCTGCTATTGGTTTGGCAAAGGGAAAGATCGCTGCAAATTTGGTGACGACTGCAAATTCATCCATTCCGAAGATGATGTGGTGCTACATTCATATTGGTGCAAGTACTATGTGGCAGGGAGAGAATGTTTCGCTGGAAAGGATTGTGAGTTCTCGCATGATGCAACTGGTGTGAGGTGCGTCCAGTTTGCTCGGTCTGGGAAGTGTCGGTTTGGTGACAGGTGTGTCTTTGGACATGAGGTTCCGTTGGAAAAACAGAGGCCAAGGTCTCCAAGGACGCCCCCAAGGGATGGTCCAAGGAGAAAGTCTGGTGCAAATGGTGGAAAAAAGGAGATCTCTCCTGAACAGTTCGGTGATGATGAGGAGGATTTTATGGTTTATGACGAAGAGACCAAGATGACGGAACTGTTGATGGAGGCGATTTCATTTCTGTCCAATGGCAAGTCAGATTTGGCTCGAGCAGAGGCGGACCCATTGTTCAAACTCCTGAAGATCACTGGAGATGCTGACTACATGGATCAAGTATGGGTTTCGTGGACCACTGAAATGTTGTCAGTGCTGGAACTTCTCGAAGTAGTGAAGTCGTACGATGTTTCGCTCGCGGAGGTGGAAGAATGGGTCAATGACCTGAGGATATGGTATGAGCGAGCCAATTTGGGAGAAGAAAAGGATCCCAAAAAAGGGAAAAAGAGGTCCCTAGAAGGGGAGTCCAGCAAAGATATTCCTGCCGAAAAAGAAGTGGTTGAGACTTCGGAGACGGAGGTTGCCGTTGAGGAGGAGAAGAAAAAGGTAAAAAAGAAGAGGAAAGCTGCAGCTATCGAAGATCCTTATACGCTCATGGTTCCAAAGCCGAAGAAGATGCCGGCGGTCATTGAGAAGGGTGGATCATCATCCAATGTGGTGGTTTCTGCAGTGGAAAAAGCCTCAAAAGCGCGCACAAAGTCAAATGTCGGTGGAAAGACAAAGAAGAAGGAGAAAAGTCAGAGTCCCAAAAAGAAGAGGTGGTAATGGTGCAAGATCCTGAGGAAAAGGATCGTCCATCCGATGCGGAGGCACCAGGGTCTGCCAATGCGAATGAAGAGCTGGATCAATCTTGCCAGGCGATTGAGGATGCGAAGAGAGAAGGATTGGTATCCTCAATTCAAAGGGGCATACAGGATCCTATTCTTACGATTTCGGACCTGGAGTATATTCTGCTGCAACTTCACCTCAAGATTGCCAACAATCGGAAAAAGAAGTGATTGGATGGTATGGATGAAGGGATGGTTTTTCTCTTTCTGGAGACCGGTGCGCTGGAACAGCCAATGTGCTGACAAAGGTGGTGGTTACTATTAAGGGTATGGAAATCCCTGATAGTAGGAGTCAGTAGCTTTTCGCGTAGCGAAGACCACGGTTTGTGGTGAAGAAGGCCAAGGAGTCTTCAGTGATGAGAGGATCAAGGTGAAAAAAGATTCTCTATGGGTAGTAGGTTAGCCAATGTGCTATAATTCCGTCCTGGAAGACGTTAAACCACAATTTGCATTTCAAGCAGCTGGCTGCTGCCGTAATGGCAGTTTTTGGCCAAAAGATCTGCATCTCCAATGTGTCCTAGGAAATCCTAGGACAGGGGGAGTGCGGAGCTGCAATTGGTATTGTAGAAAAGAGTTAGTGTTGAGAGTTGGAAGGGTTAATGAACCCGGAAATCATGTTTGGCTCAAGATGGGCTTGAACAGAAAGCCACAAGTTCAAAAAGTAGTGCCTGGGTTCTTAGGGTTTGGTAAGGGTGTGGGTTCCTTCCCCCTTTCCTTCCCCCCTGGGTTGCTCTTATCCGTGTTCTTGGTTGTTTCTTGGTTCGATCTGGGAAATATAAGTTCAGGGCGATTAGGGGAGTTGATTTCCTTCCTTGGTTGTCCCCCCGTATAGGGTTTAGGTTTTAGTTTTTAGAACCCGTTAAGCCGTAAGCCCGCAGTCCCCCGACACCCTCCCTTTAACCCTAAACCTCGCAATGCCGAAGCCCTTGACTACAAAGCCCTGACTCCTTACACCCGAAACCCCCAAATCCTAAAACCCTCACACCCTTAGGGGTTTAGGGTGTAACCCCGGAAGCAGACACCCCGTCTTGGAAGGAGACTTTCCGACGCCTCGCAGAGGCATACGAGGCCGAGCATTTCTTGTTCGATTGGCTTCTTAGGGGTTTAGGGTTTTAGGGGTCTAGGGGCGTACGGCGTAGGGTTTATAAGTCTAAGACTGCGATGCAAAAAGGGTTTAGGCTTATGGCTTATTCAGTGTTTATGCTTCATAGGGTTAGTTGAGGGTGTGCAGCTGCGCGGGTTTAAGAAAAGAATCATGTTATTAGGCTTTACCCAAAGGCTCCTATGTAGTACCTTTTTGGGGTAGTATACTAGAATCCCCTATAACTACACCAAGAAGGAACTACATTGGAGCCTTTGGGTAGGGCTTAGGGCTCTACCAAGGGGATCCGGAACATGCTTTCGGTTAGGCTTGGGGTAAGGGGTGGGTTGATCCTTAAGGTTCTTAAGTTTCTTAAGTTTCTTAAGTCCTTAAGTTTCTTAAAAATAGCGCCACCCTTCAGCCTAGCGCCGCAGGATTTTTTGATACCCGGAAGCAGCTAGCAATGCCAGGAAGCAGCTAATGGTACCCCATGAACCTCCAAGTGCTGGGTTTAGGGTTTAGGGTTTTGGGTTTTGGGTTTTGGGTTTAGGGTTTAGGGTTTGTGGTTTGTGGTTGGCTTTATAAAGAGAAGCCCAGAAACAACCCCATCGACAGGCCGGTAGGAGTTTTGGGCACATGCTCTCCTCATCGAAGCACATGGTCGACACCAGAGCTTCACCAAACTCGGAATGCTTCTGAAGGCACAATATAGGGGTCGGAATAATTAGCTAATAGTGTTCCCCTTATGGTCTAAAGATATACTACAATACCCCCCCCCCCGCCCCCAAAGCCCTATTCGAATTCTTCAGGCCCCCATATTATGTGTTGACCCAAACCTGTCCCATAAACCCCAAACCCTTGATTGCCTGTGCTGTTGCAACCCCCCCACCCCCCCCCCCCCTCCATCCCCAAAATCACTGAAGGTTTAGTGTTTCGGGTTTGGGCTTTAGGGTTTAGGGGTTCAGAAAACCCTAAACCCTAAACCCTAAGACCACCAAGGCAAAAAACTCCCTAAGACCTGAGCCGGGTGACTGCGCAGGCCCTGGCGACCCACTTCTCCGGGCCGGGGGGGCAGCCATCTTCCGACGTGGCCGGTTGAGAGGATGCTGCAGGAGTAGTGTAGGGTTTAGGGTTTAGGGTTTAGGGTTTAGAGTTTAGGGTTTAGGGTTTAGGGTTTAGGGTTTAAGGTTTAGGGTTTAGGGTTTAGGGCATGTAATTCGATGCCGGCCTTTCTGGCCACAAGGTTGTGTAGACATCGTTGAAGTTGAAGGACGCGCAAGTTGAAAGGGCTCTTGTTTTCCTGCTGGCTGCATTAAGGTCCATGTAGCTGTTCAGGGTAGACTTGCTTACGGTGGACACGCTAGTCTGTTCCTCCATTCGTGGCCATCAGAAACATCTAGGCTCATGTACTGACTTGCAGGCTTTCGGCCCTCAAGTTTGGTTGGTCCCAAGGGGCCTACTGTTTGTTAGCTGCTGCCCCACGATCGAGTGCTTTAATGGTTTGGTGATGTTCTGTTCGCTGTCGTGCTTATCAACGGCACAGGTGAACCTGACCATTTGGTAACTAATGTGGCCTCTACATGTACGAGCATCGTGTGGGACCTAGTTTGACCACTACTTGGGTTTGGGGTTTAGGGTTAAGTCGTCTTGATATCTTGCCTTTCAGGTCCTACCGGACATCAATTAGGGTTTAGGATGTTTAGGGTTTAGGGTTTAGGGATCAAAAGGACCTATACCTTGCGTGAGCTCGTGTCGGCTCTCTTTTGCTGGCCCCTAACACGCCCCCTCAACCCCCCGAAACCCGTAACCCTAAACCCTTAAACCCTAAACCCTAAACCCTGAACCCTGAACCCTGAACCCTGAACCCACAAAAAAAACACCCCAAGCCCCCCTGAAATGCAAACGCGACTTCCGAGGCCGAACGCCAGCAGCTGCAGCAGCAGCAGCAGCTCAAGGAGAGAAGCTATGCGCCGGGCACTTGATATTAGGGTTTAGGGTTTAGGATGTAGGGTTTAGGGTTTAGGAATTAGGGTTTAGGGTTTAAGCTGGTAGTAGAACCGCCATTTGGGGAGGGGTTCCCGAAAGTAGGGGTACCTTATTGGGTCCTCATGAGAAGGGAATCTTACTATTTAGGGGGGGGGTCTATGTTAGGGCTCCTCTATTTCCGGAAACCACCATTTTTTCTTGAGAAGTATACTTCTATCAGATTGTGTCTTAGGCTTCAGGCGTTTTTGCTGCGCTACTTTCGCTTCTGCTTCTGGTATGTGTAGGTTCGGTATAAAAACAAGACCTATGGGGCAGTTTTGGAAAGAGAGTGTGGCGTAAGGGGAGAAGAGGAACATCAGGCCGACAGCGACTATGGCACGGAGGACGTTGACACTGCGAACGTGAATTCCCAGACAACCCTCAATCCCCAATCCTTGATGTCAATGCCTGCGCCTGAAAGCCTCTGGGCCTGTGAGGGCCAGAAGCGTGCTAGCCTCAAACCCTTAACCCCCAAAGAATAAGTTGGTTGGCGCGGATGTTCCGTGTTGCTGTATCTCGGAAACCTGGAGGACATGCATCTGTTTATAAGCCGTATTCCTAGCGCACAACCCTCTACTAGCAGCATTTTGTTGGCTCAGCTCCGTGGAGAGCCCAAGAATGCTTCCGGAGGTCCGTATAAATTTACAATCCTAGTCTTACCCGAAACCCTAAACTTAAACCCTAAACCCTAAACCTTAAACCCTAATATGAGTGTCAGCTAGGCGGGTGGCAAAAAAAACCCTAGTTAAGTGGTATTGCGGCAAAACTTTCCCAAACTTACGGAATCCTCGGTGGGGGGGGGGGCCCATGAAAGCCGACTCAGGTCGCCGGGCGCGGAGGAGGCAGATTGCAAGAAATGCTCTGGTAGGGTTGGGGTGGTTGTACTTCAGGAAGGCTTATGGGTTTAGGCTTTACAAGTTAGGGCATTGGGTTTTCTGCGCTGCATGGATTTCGGTCGGCTTTGGGAGGGGGGTGGCTCCGACTCCTCCCTGCGATTTGAGCCGTTCAGCCTCATGGATACACAAGATGTGAGGGTCCTGGGGGCCTGAGAAGCTACCATTTGCTTCAGAGCGCCGCAAACCAGAATTATTCCTCATCTGGGTAACATGGGGATGGTTGTCTTTCCTTTTTGGGGGTTCTTAAGCACATGGTGGTAGGGGAAGTTGACTGTATTTGGGGCATACCTTACTTTTGGGATTTAAAGCCTACACCGCACACGGCCGTGCACGATTTTTCGGCATGTCTGGGTGAGCCTATCTTGGCTGCCAGGCCATAAAATGCCCCCCCCCCCCCCCCCCCCCATGCTAACAGTTCTTAATCCCCCCCTTCATAGGGATTATAGAGCCCCCCCTTATTAGGGATTATAGTACCCCGCGATTATCATCCCAATTTAGGAACTAGACTGTTAGTAGAACGGGGAACATCCCAGCCTACTCTTCTGCTGGAGGTGCCTGCGCGGCGCGTACCCACGCCCCGACCGAGTCCTGGCGCCTTTGTCTTCATTCAACTTGTGTATGTTACCTAGGAATACTAGGGAATAATTTTCAACGTTTGGTACTATAATCCCCAAGAAACAGCGAACATTAAAAGGTTGATGGGGTCCCAAGTTCCGTAAGGACCCAGAGTAGGCTCCCTTATATGCCCCCTTTAAACTAAACAGGGCACGCTTTTCATTCCTAGGTTTGGTAGGGTAGATGGGCTTAGGGTCCTTTATTAGGGTTCCTAGCAGGGTTTAAGAAAAGTGCCGGCGAGCTAGATGGCCGAAGGAGGTAAAGGCAAGTACCCCAAACCCTGACAACCCTAATCCCTGAATTGCAACCCTAAACCTAATTTGGGAAGTCCCGCGAGTCACCACTCGAGAAAAACAATTGTGCTTTAGGCTTTCTTATAGCGTTTTTGCACCCGCATGCACCGGTTTGCTATGTCTGATCAAGCCGCATGCAGGCGCCTTCCCCAGGGGTTATTGCATACAGCGAAAAGTCGCGCGTTCGTTTTCTGACTTCAGGGTAATCAAAAGACGGCGTTTCAAGTCTACGAGTCGAGCTCATGATGCGATCCTCACAACCCTGACCGACGGCACATCGGGTTGCAAAAGAGATAAATAGAGAAAGAGAGAAAGAGAGAAAGAGAGAAAGAGAGAAAGAGAGAAAGAGAGAAAGAGAGAAAGAGAGAAAGAGAGAAAGAGAGAAAGAGAGAAAGAGAGAAAGAGAGAAAGAGAGAAAGAGAGAAAGGGAGAAAGGGAGAAAGGGAGAAAGGGAGAAAGGGAGAAAGGGAGAAATACTAAAAAAACAAGCAAACAAAAAAACAAACTAACAAAACAAAGCAAACCAATAAAAACGAGCGAGGGATTGTAAGAGACCTTTGGAGCGCAGAGAGAGGCGTGGCTCACCAGCGACTGCGGGAGGCGCCGCGGCTCGAGGGAGGTTCTGCCAGGGGAGACTGGTTCTGCCTCAGTTTAGGGTTTTTAGGGTTAGGGGAAGACTGGTTCTACCTCAGTTTAGGGTTTTTTTAGGGTTTTTGTAAGGTTTTTGTAAGGTTTTTGAGGTTTTTTGAGGTTTTTTGGGGTTTAGGGGGGCTTTTTAGGGTTTAGGGTTTAGGGTGGCTTCCCACAAAGGAGGTGCTCCCAAGACTCGAAGACCGAAACTAAGGAATGTTAAGGGGGTTACCCCTTTGGAGGGAGGTTTGGGGAATTGTTGGGGATTTCTCTGCGTAGATCTAGCTAGCTTCAGGGGGGCCTTGGAGAGTTGCACCTAGTTTGGGCGGTGTAAGGGTTTACTGTAGGGTTTAGGGTTTAGGGTTTAGGGTTTAGGGTTTAGGTTCCAGGGGGTGTTTATCGCACCTGCAGAGCATACCAGGCCAGAGCTGGCTTTCCAGAGGCCCTGAGCACAACCGATATTTGCAGTCGCGAGTTCGTCTAGCTTTGGGGAGGTTGCAGCCTGTGGCCTAACCCTAAACCCTAGACCCTAAACCCTAGACCCTAAACCCTAAACCCTACCCTAGCTGTAAGCTCGCCCGAAAAGGAGTGAAGGGTTGTTTAAAAAAAAAAACCTAAACCCTAAACCCTAAACCCCAAGCCCTCCACCCTTCAAGCAGCTTGCACCCCACTCCGCATGTCCAGATCCGCACTCCCAGCACCGCCAGACGCCGGACAGGGCCCAACTGGGTTTGGGGCGGATGTGGGGTGTGGATTTGGGTTTAGGGATTAGGCTTTCGGGTTTAGGGTTTAGGGTTTCGGTTTTAGGTTTAGGGTTTAGGGTTTAGGGTTCAGGGTTCAGGGTTCGGGGTTTAGGGTGTAGGTCCAGTGGCAAAAAAGGGTTTAGGGTTTAGGGGTTTACCTTGTTTCAAGGATTCTTACTCTGTGAGAGTTGGAGGGGCGCGCTTGGGGCATGCTTTAGTCGCTCGACCCATTCAAGAACCACTCAGCCTTTCCTCCTGCCCCCTGCCTCCTGAAAGCCGCAAAACTACCCTACACAAGCCAGTTAGTACATCTACATATCTACATTGCTCTAAGTTGTGATGAAATTATCTTTCTGTTCTTCATGATACATGTAGGACAAATTCTCGTGCTCTGAGAAACCAGTACCCTGAGGCCTCCCCCAGGCCCTTCACCCAGTACCATGACCCCCCCACCGGCACCACAAGCCAGCCTCAACCGTAAGGCCCCCGAAGCTTTGCACTGGAAACCTTTCAGGACTTACCCCTGAACTCTAAACCCTGAACCCTAAACCCTAAACCCTAAACCCTAATCCTAAACCCCAAACCCTAAGCCCGCTTCGCGCCAGTAAATCTCTAGGCCCCCGCCCGAAGAGCTGTCTGAGCTACGCCGGCTGCTCCAGGAGCCTGTGGGTTTAGGGTTTAGGGTTTAGGGTTTAGGGTTTAGGGTTTGGGGTTTAGTTTTTTGGGCTTAGGGCTTAGGGTTTAGGCTCAACAAAAAGGGTTTAGGTTTTCGGGATGTTTAGGGATTAGGGGCTGGGTTGCGCGTCAAGTCACAGTCCGGGCCGGGTTCAAAAAAGGGGCTAGGGTTTAGGGTGTTGAGGGTTTTGCTTCCTGGCAGGTGCCTTAAGGCTTTCAATT